ACAGCATATTTTAGCATATTATGACACTTTTCAATCAGCACCGCGTGATCTTAATGAGGGTCAAAGTGCGGCGGATCACCTAACTCGTCCTCAGTGACGAGTTCAAATCTAGTTAGTTTTACTTTTATTAGAAATTTTAAAGGTTGTTATAAATTTTCAATGTTTGTTTTAGTTTTTAACCAATTTTTATGTATTTGTTTTCATTTAAGGGACCCCAACGGAAATAAACCGATTCGGTTTTTTTGGGTTATCCTGAGCTGTAAATGTTTTACTAAATTATCTTTTTATTGTTCATTGTTTTGTTATTTGTAATGTGTTGAATTATGCTCAAATAAATTTGAATTGAATTGAATTGAATTGGAATATAGTATTCACCTACAGTACATATGTGTTGAGATACAGTGTACTATACAAATAATAAAATTCAATATTTTATTGAGAACTGTTCTTTCATTCCTGATGATGACGTAATTAAATGTTGAAATATTGAATCCCAACAACATATATATATATATCAATATTTGGAGTATGTATTATACTTTCTTATCTGAGATAATCAGTAAACCTTTCAGTGTTCTTTGTAAAAAGAGTATGTATTTTTTTTTAATTAAAGGCTAATGTGTAGTTCTTTTGCATAGATCCTATTGCAATTGAATACTTTCCCTTGAATTTAAATAATAAATGTTTAATTTAATTTTGAGGTTTTTCCAGACTTTACCACATAATATGATATGTCTTAACATGTTTGTTAATAACAGAAATCGTGGATTGGGTTTTTTCAGGTCAGAGATTAAATTATAAGGTATGACTTCCACGGTGGTATGCACAACAAATGGTATAGAAAATGATGAGCAACGATTATGCATTGAAGAGCCGATCCAGAATGGAAACAAAAACCACAATATGTACACAGTTGGTGAAGACTTAAATGACGGTGATCTCAAAGATGAGCTCTGTGACCCAGATAACCCAATCTCTGTGAAGTTCCAGGATGTGAGTGCTGCTGCTTATAAGATCAAAAGTGGAATCCAAAGAACACCTTGTCAGGTAATGAGCTTATAGCCACCGGTTTCTTATAAGTATTGCCAAATTTACTAGAAACACAAGATATAAACTCTCCACAGATAAAAACTGTATCACCAACTTACATGATGGGTATACTACTGTACCAGGGAGTTCTCCCTGACTGTATTTACATACGTTTGCTTATATTCCATCGTAAGTTGCTTCCCATTAAATGAGGTGCTGCATACGGCAGGATATAAACAAACATACGTAAATTGTCATTATTGGATAGAGAAGGGCGGGATATACATAAAGGGCGCATATGTGGCAAAGACAAGCCAAACCAGTCACTCGTCGGAAAAATCAATTTTTAGTTATTAATACAGGGTTTAACAGTACAATGAGAACTATAAAATGGTAAAAAAATCATTTAAATCCGACACTTCGTTATAAAGTTACACGAGTTTAAACATACAGCTGTTTAAAAAACAATATTTGAGAAATCAGCCTTCAAAGTATACGATTTAGGCATTTCCTAAGCAGAAACCATCACCAAATCGTTAAAAATTGTTGTTTTAACAATGAAAATGAGGAAAATAACAGCATAGCATGATGTATAGATATATAAAGGTTAGTTTAGTGCAATAAAATAGATTTCTAAAATTTTGACATTCCAGTATGTTTTGGCCATTATCTCCAAAACAGGATTTGCGACGAGTGACTGGTTTGGCTTGTCTTTGCCACATATATCTGCTTCACTTTTGCTGTGCAAGAGTTCTACCTTGTGATTCTAGTATCTTTTGTGTGGCCAAAAAGTCTGTTTTGCCCAAGACTGACTGACCAAAAATTTGTTTATATCTCAGCGGTTGATCTAGTATGAGTTTATTAAATTATACAAATTTTATCTCTCTAATCTGAATATTTCTTCTTTCAGAAATCACACATGTCAGCGCTGACGGGGATGGAAGTATATTTCAAGAAAGAATTTTTACAGTTTACAGGAAGGTGAGTACCTGGTACTGGTATACTGGTATAAACATGTATAATGTGCCTCTCCTTGAGGTTATAAAGCGCTCATCTTGTCCCTGGTCATTGGGTCCACATGCTTTAGGTGTTGCTGCTGGTAATCAGCGCAGGAGCAAGCAACCCCACCAGGTACCCATTTGTACTCCTGGGTGGAGAGGAGCAATACAATTAAAGTGCCTTCCTCAAGGACACAAGCAATTTGCACAGCCAGGGATTGAAACCCCGACCTTGAGGTTGGGAAACCAAACTGTTCATGCTATGCCAAACCGCCACCTATGTTCTCAGGAAATAATACAAAATAATAATAAATAAAAAATACATAAAAATAATGACTATATAAAAAGTAGTAGCATTCTGCATTCTGATTACGCAGCAAATTGAGCCTAAAATGGATTCGCCCAACCCATAACAATTCTGTGTTCTCTACATGACATATATTCAGGCCAGCATCTTAGAATTTCAGATAACATCAATTCAATCGCATAATTATAACTTTATGTGACGTTACATTCAGATTTCATTGCACAAAGTCGCCCTAGTGTGGCAAGCACTAAGGTACCTTGTTTGGAAAGAGCTCTGCTATTTATGAATGAACCCTAGAGCCTAATCACTTTCCTCTTTATTTTTCTAAATTCCTACCACGCTATTTTTTAGCATTCGCCAAGAAATGATAAGATGTACCTTATATGTATATAAACTTTACTATTTAAATAAATTATGTAATTATTATGTATGTGATGGCTTTTCCAATGTATTACTGTTTTTTTTCTCTCACTTTAATAGTTTTAAGGAAAGAGGAGCAAGGAACACATTGTTAATGCTTAATAAGGTAATTTTTTCCTCATTTTTATTTCCAAAACGATATATAAATTCAACAATAACATCTTTTAGGTGGTAGACGGTAATATACAAAGGTGAATTAATAAACGATCATGTGAAAAGTATTCAGTAAACAAGATAAAACCTGTGCAGAATCCTACTAAAATTATTAGGAATCATTCTTGAATCTATTCAAAATTTATGAAAAGAACTTTTTACTTGAAAACTGTTAGGTATAAATTTATTAACCAACATGTTACATAAATAACGAAACAGCTTTTTTGTCCCTTTTATTGTTTTTGAGGGCACCTCCATTTTTCAACCTGTAACTTTTATAGGAATGTCAGACATTCCATTTTCATTTTTCATTTCATTTATTTCTCTCAAAACATTTAAACAAAAGACAAGAACAAACAGATGCAATAAAAAAAAACAAGAGAGAGGAAAACCAAAAAGCGAACTTAATCAATTGTCGAGTGGTTTCCCCATTACATATAAAAAAATAACAATATCATCAGTGAAAATAACAAATAAATCATTTTTCAGAAATTCAAATAGTTAAAATTTAAAACTATGTAAAACAGGCAGGAATTAAAAAGGAGTCAGATAAAACTAACATGCAAAATGAAGCTTGAGAGAATGTATTGAAATTAAACAAAATATCGTTCTTGAGGTCGCTTGGCAGTCTGTCCTATGCGCGGGAAAAAGGGTTGAAAACAGAATATTTAAAAGCATTAGTTCTGGATTGTTGGTGGACAAAAACAAGATCATTGGGGTGCCAACAGTTAACCTTAATAAAATTAGGAATATCAATTGAATACTTCTCCCAAAGACAGCTGGCAATAAATGAAATGCATAAATAACAAAATCGATCGTCGATGGGAATAAGCCCCAAATATATACAACGCTGAGCATGGGACAAACTGCTAGATTTAACTCTAAACGGAACATTAACAGGAAAACAGGGTCTTGACAAATTACTGAATGTGACCCCGGCTGAAAGGTAACCAAGAAGGAACCCCATACTCAATAATAGGACAAACAAGAGCATTGTGAAGTCTAGGTACTATAATAGGATTCCTGGAGCAAACAATCCTCCTGATTAAACCAAGAAGGCGAGAAGCCTTGTTTGAAACATTATCAACATGACTATTCCAAGATAAATACTCATGTTGATAATGTTTCAAACAAGGCTTCCCTCCTTCTTGCCTTTCACTGTGTGGACTTATGGCCTCTTCCAAGTTAATTTAAAACTAAACCATTTCTAATTTGTTCGGTTGTTCCATTGTTTTCACACAATAACTTTTATTTATGTTACATTTGTGATATGAACGTTTATCTGAAATAAGAGTTGAATAAACTAGTATACAAGAGAGGGAATTTAATCATAAAATGCTTAATTGGAGAAATTGACCGTGACATCTGGTGGTACCCACACACAATTAACAATTAGAAGCTCTTCAGCCTTTGTCTGTCAATTATTTACTGTAACAATTGAAACACACAGAATGTGAAAGCCACTCTTTGAAGGCTCGATTTCAAATAAAATAGGGTAGACTTTTTGAGAAGCATTCGGCTGTTGCTCCTGTAAAATTTTATTATCACTGCAAATGAATTATTATTATTATGTAACTTAGAGCCCATATCATTCCTTTATATGCTCCATCACATGTAGTGTGGATATTATTTTTTATTTATTTTATTTCATTTGTTCACCAACAGCAGCTTATAGAATTGAAATAAAGACTATTATAAATATATATAGAGATACTGAAAAGTTTAAATAAAAAATCAACATTTTAAAATTCCTTTGATAAAATAAAAAAAAGAGTAAACATACATAATTATTTTTTAAAGCAGTAATAGAGTATTTTAAACGTGGAATAACTGTTGAAAAAATATCAATATTGCTAATAGATTGAAGTAAAGAATTGTATAAATTAGGTAACTGTGCTTGAAACCCCCTACGTGAAACATTAACCCTGTTAAATGGAACATAAACAGTGGACTTCAGCCTAGTAGCATGAAATGGAACATAAATAAACATAAATAACTAAATAAAGAACAGCAGTCACAACTAAACAGACATTAACACTCTTATACAAAAAAAAAACATTAAATCAAACACACTTCCTCTAAACTAAAAGGGTTCAAGGTTAGTGTTAACAGGAAAATTAAACCGTTTGTATGAAATTTAATAGGCTCTATTTTTTTCTACTGCGACCGTCTGCTGCCGACACATTTTTTACTCATGAATGTATAGTTAAGATGATTTTCATGTTTTATTGTTAGGCTCAGAAGAAGAAGGGGGTGATAGCAGCATCAGCCGGAAACCATGCACTAGCTCTGTCATACCATGGCAAGGATCTAGGTATCCCAGTGACGGTTGTCATGCCAATTGTGGCACCGATCATGAAGGTTAGCTTGTGTAGGCAACAGCAAGCTAATGTGGTTATACATGGGGCAGATATTGGTGAGGTGGGTATGCTTCAAAATAATTATTAGTATTTGTGAATACCTATCTAGTTGAGTCAACAATTCCTGAAGTTTCAATAACCTTGCCTATCTTTGTATCTTATAGTCCAAGAACCTTGCCATGAAAATTGCAAAGAAGGAAGGGTTGGCATATATTAATGGGTAAGCTAATTATCAATATATTTCTAATAGGAATTATTAAAATTATTTTACAATAAAGGTGGTTTTAAAAATGTTAAATTTTTTTATTACTGAATGTATGTTATTTATTATGGTGCATCAGATTTTCTCATCTGCATATGTGGCAAAGACAAGCCAAACCAGTCACTCATCGCAAAAATTGATTTTGAGTTATTAATACAGTGTTAGATAGTAAAATAATAGCTATGAAATGGTAAAAAATCATTTAAATTGGACATTTCCTTATGAAGTTACAAGCGTTTAACCACACAGCTGTTTAAAGAACAATATATGAGAAATTAGCCGTCAAAGTTTATGATTTCAGGCATTTCTCATGCAGAAACTATCTTTAAATCCAAAGTATTGTTTTAACATTGAAAATGGGGAAAATAACAGCATAGAATGATGTGTAGATATATAAAGGTTAGTTTAGTACAATAAAATAGATTTATAAAAATTTGACATTCCAGCATGTTTTAGCCATTTTCTCTGAAACACAATTTGCGACGAGTGACTGGTTTGGCTTGTCTTTGCCACATATTACAAAGGAGGTGGTAAGTGTAAAGTTGGGTGCAAAATTCACATAGACTGCCACCAACAATCAAGAGATGGTGTGGAGTCGTCAGACACTCTCACAGAGATGAACCTCTAACTACATTGTTTTTTTCTCCAGGTATGACAACCCTCACATCATCGCAGGTCAGGGAACAATGGGTCTTGAAATTGTTGAACAAATTGCTGATATTGATGCAGTAGTAATTCCAATAGGAGGAGGAGGTTTAATTGCTGGAACAGCCCTAGCCATTAAGAGTTTATCACCAAAAACACTTGTAATTGTAAGTGACAACCTTTAACCATGCTTTAACTACTTTGTGGTATGTTGTATGTTTAACTTGTTTCCACATTAATAAAAAAAAACAAAAACAATTAGGAGCATGTACTATTTACCATTGGGATTTGAACCCGATGCCTTGAGAGGTTAGTGTACAACCTATCAAATTCTTTATTGAGCTCTGACAGCAGCAAATGCAAAAACGATTTTTTAAATGTTTTTCAGGGTGTGGAGTCTGAAAAATGTGCAAGTTTCAAGGCATCTTTAGAAGCAGGTACACCTGTGTATACTAAAGCTGGACCAACGCTGGCTGATGGTAGGTCAAACTACTATACTATTTATGTTTTTTTCAGTTAAAAAAAATAATTAAATATATTAACAAACTAAATACAGTACGTGGGGTGATGATTTGCAATGAACCGCCATGGGCGTAGACTGGGGTGCGGAGGTGTAGATGCACCCCCCTCCCCATGACAGCAAATTAGTTCCACTAGGTGGGTTATAATACTAAAAACGACCATTAAGTTTTCGTTGGAATAGGGATTTAGTTTCGCATATTGAATTTTCACTTTCCTAGGTGTTTTTGTACCCCACAGACCAAACCAGCCCCTGTAAGCCGATGCATGTGTAAAAAAAAATAATTCTTGACCAACTAACACAGTTATTCAGATGTCTTATGCAACACAACTACAGCATCTGTTTTCACCTAATCACAAGTTATTTAAACATTTTTTATCAATACTCTTTTGTCTTTTCATAACATGTTTGTTTGCTTTGTAGGTCTGGCTGTCCCACTTGTTGGTGTAAATGCTTTTGAAACGGCTAAGGATTTAATTGATAAGGTTGTAACTGTAAGGTAAGGATAAAAGTCAAGTTATTCTTACTGGCACTGGCTCCAAATGTATTGTGATAGTGTGAAAGATGCCAAGATATTCCCTCAAATATTAACATTATTAGTTGGCATGAGTTGGCATGGTATGCACTCTTTTACAATTTCTGATATTTAATTTGTTTTGTATAGTGAGGACTTTATTGCACTGTCAATTTTGAGGTTGGTTGAACTTGAAAAGGCTGTTGTAGAGGGCGCTGGTGCTACTGCATTGGCAGCATTGCTTGGCAACAGGCTTCCAGAACTCAAAGGCAAAAGGTAGGTTGGCTAATGGCTAATAAGGAATAGAGTAAACATAAGTTAATGGTACAGCTTTTGTATTCTTTGGATAATAAAGACATACTATAGCAGAGATAGTATTGTGTGGTCATATTCTAAATGTAGTAGACTATTGATGCTCCATAGTTAGACTCAGTTCATATAACAGTGGCAGCATGGGGTGTTGGGGAAATTTCCATTTTACTTGAAAAAAAAATTGAAAATATTTATAATGTAAACTACACTTTGCTTTTGACAATTAGGGTTGTGATTCCATTGTGTGGTGGCAACATCGATACAACAGTTCTCGGACGATGTCTGGAAAGGGGTCTTGCAGCTGATGGTAGGTTGTGCAAGTTTGTGGTTACTGTAAGTGACAGACCTGGTGGTATAGCTGAACTCACTAAACTCATTGCTGATCTTGGTGTAAGGTAAGAACTGAAAAGATTCTTAATCCAAGTCTCAACAAGTAGGAGCGCTGCGGTTCTGCTTCTCAACCTAGATCAGAGGTTCAATTCCTCGGATCTTGCTTGTGTCCTTAGGCAAGGCACTTTGCCTACAGTTGTCTCTCTCCACCCAGGCATACAAGTGGGTACCTGGTAGTTACAAACACAAAATGCATTGATTGCAGCTCCAACATTATGGAATTCTCCCTGGGGAGCTGAGTATGTGTCCTACATGTGCTTGATCCAGTAACAGGGGGTAATAATGTGAAGCACTTGGAGGCCTTGTTGGCATTAACCGCTGTAATGTCTAACATATATGTCAATTTTAGAATCTCAATTGCAATCAAGCAACTGGTATATTTTTCAGAGACGGTATTTTTTAACTCTGCTGAAAAAAAACCTTTTCAATTCACATTAAATGATACAAGAGAAATAAGTAATGTTGCTTTTCTCAAGCCGAGTGCACGCTCTGTAGGTAGACTTTTTATCAGCTTAAACTGTCACCGACAACCAAAAGACAGCATCACGTCGTTGAGCGCTCATATATAGCAAAAATGGATTCATTGTCCAACAGTGTGCCCAGAGTATCAATACATATTTTTTTTAATGAATATCTTGTAAAATCTGTGTCAAATATGGTTGTGTTTTAGTATTGCACTCGTAAAAAATAGGGATGATAGAATAGTTTTATTATTATTATTTCTAACTTCTAATTTTCTTTGTTCTTTCCTAGTATCAAGGATATACATCATGAAAGAGCATGGTTGAAGAATGCAATCTTTAATGTCCAGGTTATGTGCGTAGTAGAGACACGAGATCAAGAGCACGCCCTCAAGCTCCAACAACTTCTGCAGGACAACTATTCAGGTGTAATATGGGGACCGCACACTGTCTGAACAAAGCAATTTACTAAACATGGCTACAATGAAAACAATTTGTGCAATCTCTTTTGGGGGCAGCATTTTGTGAGATAACAATGTTTAAATGAACAGAATTTTTTCTATTCACAATGAAGAATTAAAGTTGCTGGCTGAGGTGGATAAAAATGTTTTTAGTGAAATTAATGATTCTTCAGTGCACACATCTGCTCGGAGACTCAACAAACTGCATCAGTTTTTGCACTTTATATTGCAACATATTGAATAAAATATAGGCTACAATGTTTATTATATTGATTTAGATTCTAGCAGGTTTTGATTTAAACTACTAGCAGGTTGTAATTTAAAAGATAGTTTTGTTTATAATTTGCAAAGCTGATGTTGATTTAGGTGGTTGTCGTTAGTAACTAATGTAATTTTAAAATTAAAAAAAAATGTATCTTGGAGATTTTTATAAGAATGTTTAAACTTCTACAAAATATTTAAGTTTTGCTAACTCTATTATGAATATTTATTAGAAAAATGTGAAGTGGTCTCCTGATTGAAAGGCTGGAAGTCTGATCTCTTGTTAGTATTCTTGGCAAGGCATTTTATCTGTACAGTATTGCTTCCCTCCAACTAGGATTTAAATTGGTACCTGGTAGTGCAGAACAGGGGTGGCGCCAAGATTTGCCTGACAGGGGGTCCCAATGTCCTGACGAGAGCAAAGTGGGCGTGGTCGGGCATCGCTCAAAATATTCTGAAAGTGATAAAGGGGCGAAAACTTTGACAATTTAGGGGTTTCAAAGGCTTATTTAATAAATTTTTTAGAGTCTACTAATATATAGAATATACCTATAATTTCTTTCTTCTGCCCGCCACCCCTGGTGCGGAAAGTTACACATTGTGCATTATTGCCCGACTCCTTGCGTCTGTATAATTATCTATTTCCCTCTAATTACCAAACACAAAATGTAATTTATTTTTTCTAAACTTTTAGTAAGTTGCCAGATATTATTACAGTACATCAGGGTGAAGTCTAAACCTCAGAAGGATTTATATATTTTGAGTCACAAAAATTTACAAAACCTTACTTCACAGAAAATAATTTAAATTAACAAAACAAATAAACATAATTGTAAGCCATTTACTTCCACTGCCAAGGTAATTTTCCATGATATTCAAGGTCCTGGAAAAAACTGGAATGAATTCCCAGAACTTTCCATAACCCATACCCTTGTAGAATATCATTTTATTATTTTAAATTTCTGTATAATCATCTATGAAATTTAGATTATCAATACTGTAGTGTGCACCAGGGTATCAATTTATTTATACAGTGCTAAACCTACAATTTTTGTATCCATTTTATAGTGATATATATTTGCGTTTAATAATTTGCATTTATGTGTGTATAGGGATTAATCTGTGCAAGATACCTTTTGATGTTTAGTGTGTGCCTACAAAATATTTCCACCAACAGTTGTTACATACTTGCCTCTAAAGTCTAATATAACATGTTATCATTTCATACCCTTGTAGAACACCATTTTATTATTTTAAAATTCTGTATAATCATCTATGAAATTTAGATTATCAATACTGGTAGTGTGCACCAGGGTATCAATTTATTTATACAGTGCTAAACTTACAATTTTTGTATCCATTTTATAGTGATATATATTTGTGTTTAATAATTTGCATTTATGTGTGTGCATAGGGATTAATCTGTGCAAGATACCTTTTGATGTTTAGTGTGTGCCTACACAATATTTCCACCAATAGTTGTTACCTACTTGCCTCTAATATAACATGTTATCATTTCATCATAATTTAAATGTCTGGTGTTTTTCAGAACAGTGTAATTATATATATAAAGTGCCATGCCTACCTCTTAAGAGTTCCCTTAATGCCTTGCTGCCTGTCCTTTAATTCAATATAATAATATACAAAATGGCATTAATACAATTTTCTTTTTTTTTCCATTATTTTATTTTACTTTGAAGAATTTAGGGATCGGAAGCAAGGCAGCTTCCCCCCCTCCCCTTGAATCCACCACTGCGCATGTTTTACCAGAAACATTGACATTTCTGGTGGTCAGAGAGAAACGGATGCTAATTTTCCATTAAAATATACAGTAGTTTGCTTCTACAAACACACTTCCTCCAATGACAAAGTTATTGTATTACTTCTATCATATCAACTTTGGGTAAATGCTGTGCAGTAGCATCTTCATATCAAGTATGTATTGAATTTCCTGATGCTGAAGCACACACTTAACATTAAATAAGATTGTATACACATGGTTACGGTTACGGTTTTCTGGATGAATGTTCAACATAACGTGATGGAATTTATCTGGTGGTGCAATTTCAAAATGAATGTGTGCAACAAAGTTGTCTTTTTGATTTCTTCCTCAAAAAATTTACAAAAAGCACTCATCTGCATATTATTCCATACTAGTGCCACGACTAATACAGATTGTCTTTCCTTAATGGCAGAATATACTGTTGTATGATGATAACAAAAGCACTGCTCATTGTTGTTCTTCTATCACGGAGGATTGAGCAACTCTGGATAGACCCTGGAAGCAGCGTATCTTCCTGCATATATTACATAACCCCAGGCAAGAATAACAATAGTAACCAGTACCTACGGAAAACAAATACAGTTTTAATTACGCTTTTGAGCTCACAGCATTTGTTACACCCCTCAAGACTTTAGTCATAACACTAGATTCTCAACTTCAACTCACACTCACTGGCTTACGTTATCTGTGCCAATACTGCTATTAATTCGCTCGAACTGACTAGCATTCCTCTATCTAGACTAGGCCTAGGCCCTCTAGCTTAGTAGGCTAGCCTAGCCTCCTTAGTCTTAGTCTAAAGACTTAGTTAGTATTATTAGTAGGCCTACCTAGCTAGGCCCAAGCGTAGCCTCCTTTTTTGTATGCATTTCCAACTAAACTGGGCTACATATCATTAATAAAACGCTTACCAAGGAAAGTAAATGATTAACTGTTTTCTTGCTAAATACAATCATGTTTATAAACAAAGTACTGTAAATGCTTTGCCTATGCCTGCTATTTCTTTTTAAATGTCAGTTGTTTCTTGACGACAAAAAACAAAACGAGGAAGATCGAATCATCATTTTGGTCCGGGTATTGAGGGCGTATTTCGTATTTAACCAAAGAACTTAAATAGCAGAAGGAGCTGTTCCGAGTATTTGCATTAAAATCGATGGAACATCCGCCCTCCTGCGGATGCAGTAAAATTTGAACATTTTTCAATCAATCAATTTATTTGGAAATTGCACCTTTGCATCGGTGGCACACACAAAAAGTGGTGCATCCATATTAAGAAAAACACAGCACGTCTTAAACTAATCTTACAGGCATTAAAGAGCTACAGTAGAAAATACATTTGAACAAAATTTTCGGTCTTAAATTAATACACAGAACATATTCAATCAGAACCTAAAAAATGAAGCAAATTTAGCACTACAAGAAATTTACTCATAAAAATACAAATATACTAATCTTACAGGCATTAAAGAGCTACGGTAGAAAATACATTTGAACAAAATTTTCGGTCTTAAATTAATACATAGAACATATTCAATCAGAACCTAAAAAAAAAAAATTAAGCAAATTTAGCACTACGAGAAATTTACTCATAAAAATACAAATATACACATACATACACATAAAACATACATAAACAAATATATAATTATATACATATATATATACATATATACACATAACATACATACATAAGTGGAGAAACTACAGGAAACAAACGAACCAGATCGGCGCCTTTATTATTACTATATAGCGCCGCCACGCGGATGCAGTAACATTTTTCTCCGTGTACCCACAATGCACTTCGACCGGATGTTCCACTATTTTTTGAAGCTGCTCTATCTTGCTGTTTATTATCTCTTTGACGTTCCCAAAGGTCGCTTCTCCTTCCACGGTAACGTCGAAACTTAAAAAATCCAACTTGATTTTACCCCTGTCTGTGCATTTCATTATATAAAATCTCCCTCCAAAAGAAGTATACGTTTGGGACCAATGTTTTAAATAAAATAAAAGATAGCCGTGCTTTTTGGGCCATTATAATAATACCAGCGTGACCCTAATGCATTATGCAAATATTCCGACACTGTGGAGAGGATTCCACTGTGATGCCGTAGAAGAAGTGATGACAGTATTGTCGCACGATATAAAATGGAGAAACGAAACTAAAAAATAGCCAGCGTAGGCTTCAGAGTGAATAATAGTTAGTAACCGTACATTAAACTCTATTGTTTTTTAAAAGCGTTATAGCCCAGGTGTGATTGTAACTCTGGCGATTAGATTATTTGAGTGTATGAGAACCGTATTGCACCGAATTTTAGAACTTTTAAATTTATGAAACGTACTGTTTCTGGAAAGATCTACCGCATCCATCAAACAAAGTAATTCTCGGCGGAGTGAGTGAGCTGAGTGATCAACTGATCAGACAACACAAACAGACCAGGAGAGTAATTGAGCAGCCAGGCCTTGGGCCTAGCTAGCGATCGTCGCGCTACGCCTTCCTTGTTTAGCTTTTCCGGGATATTAAGAACGACTTGAGGTGTTCTATTTATCGAATATTTTACAGGTAATAGTAAGTACAGTAAAGTAAAAGCATCCTAATTGGTCTAGGCTACGCACGCTGACGTAGGCCTAGCCTAGACTAGTTAAAAATTACTTTTAAAAATGAGTTCAACAATTATAACGTACAGTCTTGCAGTTGTACTTCATAATTCGCTCACATGTCCGAACCAAGGGGCCAACGGACGCCTCTATCAGGGTCTCGGGGGGGAAAAAATTGAAAGAGGTGCCTACACTACTGTACACTAGCCAAGACATTTAAATAATATATTTTGAATTGAAAAGGAAAATGACATGGCCTAGCTTTTTGGTTAAATCTAGCCTGTATATATAAAGCATGTAAATACCAAATATTTTTGTTGAAAAGATATGTTTTTTAAATTTTTCTTTCAGAGCTTAGGGAAACGTACACAGCTTTAGTTGAATGTGTTAACTAGAGGTTTCGTAATGGCATCAGAAGAAATTGTGATACCACCAGACCAAGCTAAAACACCACCTGTGTTACCAAAGACAGGAACACCCCAAAGTGTTCTGGAAAACCCAGAACGAAGCTCTTCCCCAGAAGAAAATTGTTCGATTTGTTTGAATGAGTTTGAAAATAAGTCATTTACAGACGGTTGTTTCCACAAGTTCTGCTTTGTATGTATTCTGGAATGGTCAAAAGTTAAGGCAGTGTGCCCGTTATGCAAGACCTCATTTAAGTCTATTATTCATAACATTAAATCTAACGAGATTTATGACCAGTACCATTTACAACAGAATACCCCAGCTACGGATGATCAGGATGGACGAAGATTCAGATATAGGACCACATTAACGGATGACCACAGATATGCATGGGAGCTTCGACAAAGCAATGCATTTATGCGCATAACACGTGAAGAAAGGAGACGTTACAATGAGCAGCGTGTACAAAATCAGCGCAATGCTGCCTATAACTTCCGTCGTTATATCTATGCGATTGGTGTACGTGTTAAGCAAACACGTTGGAATCGTTTTTCTGGATATCGCGACATATCACTAGATTTTTTCCGTCGTAATCCAGCCACTGTCTATCGTTTAGTCCCTTGGATGCAGCGAGACTTGAGTGTTATTTTTAATGGGGATCAAAACAATGTGATGTTTGTTACTGAGTTGATCTTGTCTTTAATTCAGCGTATTGACATTCAAACACAAGAGTTCAAAAACAATCTTCAAGGATTCCTACTTAACAAGACAGAACATTTTGTTCATGAGTTTATCAACTTTGCACATTCACCATATGATGTTCAAACCTATGATCAAATTGCACAATATGATTATGGTGATCTCTCAAGATTGAGTGAACCACCAGTAAATATTAATGAGCCACTTCTTGTAATCTCGAGTGATTCTGACAGTGATATTGATATCATTCTCCCATCACCAATTGATTTGAGTGCCCATTCAAGGGAAGGCTCTCATAATCCTGTTCCACCAGTGGAGTCTGAAATAAACATAGCTCCTGGACCATCAGGAACTACTAGTAGCATCATTCAGAACTCTCTAGTGAAGCAGGAGAAAAACACAATAAAAATTGATGACAATACAAATGTTGAGGTGACCAAAGATCCTTCTGACTCTGATGTTGAGATCATTGGTTTTTTAAAACCTTACCATGAAAGAACTCCAGAGCTTGTGGTTCTGTCCTCAGGCACAGAGGAGGAACAACCAACATGTAGAAAATGTGGCCAACCAAAGCATTCTTCTAAGTGTAAAAAGATTAAACGGAAACCAAAAACAGCTAAGTCCACTTCATCGCACCATTCCTATAGACGATCTAGCTCTCCAGATGATTATCATAGATCAAGTCGCTCAAGAAGTAGAAGCCGATATACAAGAGGAAAACATGATCGTGATTCTCGATCATCATCGAGAGAAATAGAACCTTACTCGCGTTATAGAAGCAGAAGCATTAACAGGACAAGTAGTAAAGTCTTGTTTAGATCAAGGTATAATCAGTATAGATCAACATCTTCCTCTGCCAATTACTCTTCAGATACTGATGGATATTTCAAAAGATATGATGAATTATCAAATTATCCAAAAGAAAGATCACAATCTCACAGATCTTTTGGAAAATCTAAAAAATCTACTATTAGACCTTACAAATATGACCGTAGATCTGAAAAACCTCTTAGTAGATCACACAAACCTCAAAGTAGGTATCGCAGATCCCGAAGTACATCAGTCAGGTCTAGGACTCGTAGATCCCTTAGTAGGTCTCGTAGTAGATCGTACAGTAGATCACACAGTAGATCGCATAGTAGATCTGATAGTAGACCTTACAGATCACCTATCAGATCCTTTAGATCTCGTAGCAGATCTCATAGTAGGTCTAAAAGTAGATCTCATAAGTCCCACAGTTTTAGCAAAAGCCAGAGTTATGATAGAGAACTGTCACAGTTGCATGGTCATGGAAAGAGTCACTTGAGATATTGGAGTTGTAGTAGTGATGGGAAAAATTCAAATGTCAGTGACAAATACAACAAAAAGAGATCATCTAGAAGGAAAAATTCTCCAAACAGCTGGTGTTCTAGATCGTCTCCCATAAGCAATGCTCAAAAAAATATTGACTCAAGTGAAAGATCAATAGAAAAAGTAACTGCTAAAACCATTTCTGACAACCCTAAAAAGAAGAGGTCAAAGGAAAAAGAAGAGAGAAGAAAAAGAAGAGAAAAGAGACGATTAGAGAGATTGAAGAAATCTGGTGATCCTAAAGATGTGATTGTCATTGATCTGACAGTGTCTGCAGATGAAAAGGCAGGCAGTAGAGATGTCGAAGAAGTGATCAATCAAGATTTATTGTTTGAGGAAGAAGTTTCAACAATGAACCAATCAGAAAATGATACAGCTCTGGCAGTAACATCGGGTGTAGGACCCATGCGAGCCTTGCTGTTTGATGACATTGCCCAAGCAAGCGGGGTCGAGTCACTAGCCAGGTCAGTAAATGTAGAGGATGGCCTTCTAGCAAGGACAGAAAATCAACCTCATGAACCAGTTCGTAAAACAGCGTTTGATTTGCTAATAGAAGCTGAGAAAATACGTCTGCAAGAAATGCTCAATGAGAAAAATGATGTAAAGTTTTGAGATACTGGCAAGAATTACAGTTACTGTTACTTCTTTAAATTACCAAGCCACAAAGTTAAAGCCCCATTCCCAGCAAAATTTCACTAAAAAAATATTTTTTTTATAAAAAAAATGCATACGCATTACTCTAATTATTATAAACCATGGGAAAGTATTGGCATAAATATTATTTTTACTCAAAAGAATTTTTAAAAATGAAAAATACAGACTATATCTCATAAGAGATTACCAATTTCTCAACGAATTCTTCGTTACTAGGCAAATTCAGAGGTTGTAGATCGCATCCGCTGGAATGCTCTAGCTTTTACGTATTCTGTACTTTATAGTCAATAAAGTGCACCCTCTCTAATGAGATTAGATTTTGTACTTCGCATCTCGCACACTGGTCGATCGAGTAGGACTGAGATATGTTTGCTTAAATGTCAAAATCTCGGTCAGAATTATTTCAACAAATTTGAAATAATTTCTATGAAATATTATATTTCACAAGTGTCAATACTAGCAACGGAAAATATAATGTCGGCCGTTTTTATGTGTGATAACGGAACCGAAATTGAGGTAAGGCTAGGCCTAGCCTAGAAATGTTGAATAGGCTAATGTTTTTGGCGCCTACCATATTTCTTCGCAGACCTATCGCAAAATAAAGCAAAAAATTCATCCGCATTTATTTTTTGTGGACCACAAAAAAAATCAAATTTCAGTCTTATTTAACTTTTTTTTTTTTATGTTTAGGAATGTCTAAATTCAGTTAAACTAGCAATTTCGTATTATATTTATAAATCTTCATAACATATATAAAAATCAGATTTTTCTTAACAGCTGAAATTTTGCCGGAATGGGGCTTTAAAAAGCACTTTGCAATTGTGATATACCATGCACTTTTGGATTTTTTTTAGAGGTATATTCTCAATTGATATTTTTAAATTTGTGCTATAACTGTATGTACCTCAGCAGAAAGACAAGAAACCTCCCTCTTTAGGTTTACCTCTTCCTGAAACTCTGGGGAGTTCCTTACCGTATTTGAAACTGTTTCTAATTGTGAACAACCTCCTGTTGTATTTCAAAACACCTGGTTAATAAAGCTAAGGACATGGTTTCTGTTATGATGTAAAGTATTTTAAAACAAATTAATGATAGTGACCGGTTAGTTTAGTTGCTTAAATTGTGCACATTCGTTTTCCTAACAGAAAGTTTGTTATGACATATTTAGGTCATCAGGTGAAAAAGGTGGCATATCTAGGGGTATACAGTACAGGGTGGGGCAGGGAACTAGGTACTGGAATGAGGTGATAGGATAAGGCTAAATAAAATAAATCGTTTGTTTGCCTTTCTTTTTTTTTAAATGATAAATAGGGGTGGTTGGAAAAAGTTATTTTTTTAAATACTCATCAGATGGAATAAAAATAACCCACAGAAGCCTAGAATGGCAATATCTTACATCAAACAACAACTTTAGACTAATTTGTAGGGCATCTGGCAAAAAATAAAGATAAATTCAGTCACATTTTATAAATTTGTAAATAAAGCTTAAAAAAACCCCCTTTTTTTCAGTTTTTCTGTTTACCGCCCCTATTTTTTCAGTGAGTTAGGGGCGGGTGGAGGAGGGCAAACAAACAATTTTTTTTTTTGGCCTAAATTATAACTAGACTAAGTAGTAATGGAGGACACAGACTACTTTGAGGCTTATACTGCTAGGTAATTGGTGCTGATACTGTACATCCTATATGATTTGTAGTACTGTACTGATGAAAAATGATCTTTTTATTTGAATGGAGATAGTTTATAGGTTTGCGGCTGTTCTTATGGCATTCCTTTTTGTGACAATACTGACTGCACTTTTTTACTTCCTCAATATGTCCTGCTATCTCAGGGAACATTTAATAATACTGACATAATTTTAATTTTTGTCATTGTTTCAAGATTGTTTAGTACTGTACTTTTATTTTAAACAGATTTTTGAAATTGATTAAAATCGCCAATTTCAATATTTAATAAAATTTTTAGTTTCTTGTTTAATGCATACAGCTTAAAGCCTCTATCTGCTTTCAAGAAAATTTTATATATAGGAAGACATGCAAGCAGTGGTGGTGCCAGAAATTCCCAAATAAGGGTCCGATTCCCCAATGGTGTAACGCTGGGACTGGGGACCTGTGGCTTTTTGAGACTGGCCAGTCACCATTGTGGGATTTTAGATCTGCTCATTTTTATATAATGTTTATTACTGTATCAGTGGCGGATCAAGAAATTTGAAATAGAGGAAGCCCAGGAAGGGACTTTCACAGATTGATGGTGTATACCACCTTGGCCCCACTATGGTTGGGGCTGGGGTAGGAAACTTTATGATTATGGCACCTCTACATGGCCAGAAATGGCACTCAGACTTTTTCTGTTTCTCGAGACGCCCCATAGGTGCTGCCACTGCGTGCAAATAAAATCAAATAAACGATAAATTTTAATAGAAAGGAATACATGTATTAAATACCATTGAATTAGCATGTATGTTAAGTCATTGTCAACATTTGTTACCCAGTATTGAATGATCTTAGTTTATGTGTAGATTGTGGACCGATACATATCAATCATAGAATAAATGTTAACTTGAGAAACCTTATAACATATCTTCATTCCTCTGATGAATGCTGAGTAATCCTAAAAAATATTATTTCATTTGTTCTGAAAAAGAAGAGTTAATATGCTTGATTAATTCTGAGGTCATAGTAGATTTTTAATGAGGGTGATGCATCCAATTTTAGTATGTTTCAACTACAGTATTGTATATAGTTTTGTTGACCATCCAAATGCACTTGATCTATAACCTCAAGTAGGTTCCAAATACACTGGTATTCATTCATGGACGAACACTTTATAATATTTTGTTTTATTTTGTACAAAAAAAAGTATATTGGTGTATATTAAATTTTGTGTTTACAATATTTTGTCAGGTGATGTCAGATAAAAACTCATTGTAAGATGTAAATACAGTACATCCATGTGAAAATGACAATAAATACATCTATGCATCTTAATTTGGTCTCGTTTTATTTTTCAAAACAAACACAACCTGTATGGTTTGCAAGTTATTAAAGATGAATTGTCCCATGCAAAATTTCTTTTAATTAACTTGCTCATTTTGAAGTAACAAAAAAAACTTCTACTTCAACATGTAATTAGTTTACAGCTGAACTTTCCTATAATTCGAATCCAAAATGTCATTGAAATATTTCTATGCTCAAGTTAATCATTTGTATGTTAGGCTTTGTCTACACCGAGGGGCCGCACCCAAACTTTGTTGTTTCCAATGTGCTTCCAAGAACTGATTTTACACCAATTTATTCTCAGTTTGTTTTACTTTTTACATATGTTCGGTGTCAGGCCATAAAAAAAAAACAATGTGTTTTCTAGCCAATAGGGAGGTTTCGCACGTAAACGTGTATGGTTAGTATGCCGGATACGCCGGCTGCTATCCGCTAATCGTGTGGACGACACGCATATCTCGCTCACTACACGTTAGTGAAAAACGCGTAGGGAAATTGTGGATTTTTAGTAGGATCTTTGTTTATTTTTTCACATTTTACGTAAATGTATCTTTGAATACGTACGTACCATTTTTGTGACATTTGAAGGCAGCAAATTACGATAAGATGCGTCTCATTTTTGGGTATCAAAACGTCAGTGCTTGACCTTGGTGGTGCTTTTGGGTCATAAACAATAGGGCCTAGGCCTATCACAAAATAACCAATGCTTCTGGGCAACAAATGAAGTATTTTTCAGCTACAATTTTCAATTTCAATTTCCAAAAGCTTACATATATTAATAAAACCTTGAGAAGCATGATGAGAGAACAGAGTATAGGCCTAATAGTAGGCCTAAAGGCCCTAGGCCTAGGCTATGCTTGAATTGCGCTGTTGATTGCAAAAAACACAAAATGGCTATGAACCGTTATGGATAGCTAAACGTATGCGTGCGAAACCTCTCTTATGTTGCTTGGCGGGCCACACACATAGGGTTTTAAATTCATTTTCGCGGGCCGCAATTTGCCCACTTGTGTTGTAGACAAAGCTTTACTGTTTGATGTTGTTTGTATGTTTTTTTTTGTCATTTTCAGGGTACAATACATCTTTAAATGGATGTGCATTATTTTGGATAATGCACGTCTACTAATCTAATTTAGCTGATTCTACAGCTTCAAACACTGTACAGCATGTTGAAAAGTCTACTTTTCAACATTATTATTGATGTTGGTGAAAACACTGAGATGACGATGATTAAACAATGGTGCTGGTGTTACTTGGCGTAATTAGCAGCATATCTTGGAAATAATGCTGTGCGCAGTGCCACAAATGTATCCTCTTAAGCTTAGCAACCATGCTCACCAGTATTTTGAATACATAACAATGGGATTGCACTATTGGGAGGAGAAGCATTTTTATGTCTTATTTAACAGATTTCACACTGTTGAGAGGGGACAGGTGTCCGTTTTGCCACCCTCTAGATCTGCCACTGTTTGCTGTTGATCATCTTTTGAGTCTTAGAAGGAATGCATGTCTGCATTCTTTGCTTTCTTCTGGATAGTATTTGTCGTAAAAATCTATGATGAATTCTTCTGGTTTAAATCCAAATCGCTGATACAAAAGCATTGCAGAGTTAGTTGCTGATACATGAAGAGTCACATCCTTACCCATACAAGTCTTCCAAAAGAAAAAAATATCACAAAGAATTCAGTGAATTTTAAAAAGAAAAATACAGTATATCTAGAAGTTACTAAAAAATAGGCTCCTGATAGGAGCAAGAACTTGGTCAATATTGTTCTTATTGGACAAGGTGCTATCAGTCATTGGTCATCTGTCAACACACTGAACTTGGGTGATGCATCCAATTTTATGTATAAAAATGCCATTCGCATGCCAAACGCATGCCATTTTACACAAAAATGCACATTCCATTTTACACTGGAATTTCACTACCATAGCACAGAGTATATCTGCACAAGCACAGTGTACTAAAAAATATAAATATTATATACACATAAAATAAAAATGTAAAAAAATAATAAATAAAATATAAATATTATATACAAATTACACTCTGCAAAATATTTTATGTTGAATTGCATTGCCACTAACTGGTGCTACATACTCAGCGTAAATAACCCAGGATTCTGGTATTTCAAGGCTTAACCACAAATCTACACTCCTGTTGAAATGATGAAATTAAATGGACCTGGACTATGCGTGTGTCCAACAAACACACATGCTATCCCACAAACACATGTTTACGTACATTTACCCTATTGTTTCATAGGACCTTAGCAACAATATCCAAGAGGCAGGGTTTAGCGAAAGGTCCATTGCAAGGAAACAAATGTAGGAGGACAAAATGTGGCAGTTACCTGTATAAGGTGGTAAACCATGAACGTGCCAATCCCAGCTCCCCTCCACTCAGGATGAACAAATAAAAATGAAATATATGCCTCATTGTATTTCACGTCCGGAACCATGAATCCAAACCCTATCACAACCTTCTTATACAGCGCCACCACGCTAAAATCAGAATATTGTAAACACTCTGACACTGTAAAAGCAATAAACAAATGTAACAATAAAATGGCTGAATTTGGAGATAAGATATTTTAGTCAATATAAGATTGATGTTCACACAAAAGTCTCAATGCAATCAATCACCATAAAATATGATTAGTAATTAATTACAACAATATTATTATTACTATACCAATAATATTTTAAGTGTATTTAAAAATTATATTAAGACTTAATATAAAAATATAATTCATTAATAAGTTCACATCTAAAAACTCACAGTCCACTCCTGGCCAGAAGAACTCTCTACACAAAGCGTTGACAGAAGGAATGTGTTGCGGACGTACGTAACAATAATCAATAGGCCCTACAGGATCAGGGGTAAAAGTTGGGTCTATTTTTGCCTGGTATGACATCACTTCCTCTAACAAACGTAGCTTAACTGGTCTGCTTTCAAAATCTCTTCTAATAAATGGTTTCAGCACCCTTAAAGATTTTGAAATGGAAGTGAGGTAAAATTTAAATCCAACATGGCTACATGCTTGTGCAAGACCGCCACAATCTCAGGGTTTACTAGAGTAGCGCAACAACGTTGTAGTATTATTTTATGTACGCTTTAGTATACTTAATAGAATGAATGTAGCTGTGTAGTGGGATTTATATAGCGATTGGAATTGGTGCTCTAAATCAAATCACCCTGGTATAGAGAAACATCTCCACTGGTACTAATTAAAGATGAAACTAATAAATACGTGCCCATCGGGATTTGAACCCAAGACCTTCAAATCATCATTTGAAACTCTACCAAACAGATCTATGAGGCCAAGTGGTCTACACTTTTAGAATTTCCCATTAGGATATTTTTCTCAAGACAGTAACTTTGGTATGGAGAAACACCTCCACTGGTGACAATTACAATTTGTTAAATTCTTTAACAAGTAATGCTACCACTTTTATAGAGAGCAGCAGAAGACTTTGCTTCTCATTTTGGGTATGTATCTCACCTTGCAGTATAAGGGCTGCATATGCTTTGTAAAGATATCTCATCTTGGCAGCCAACAAGGCGAGTGCGGAATGTTGGGTTCTTCATCTGATAATTCTTGACTGATACTTGAGGAATCTGAAGATCAATTTAAATATTATTTGTTTCATATATCATATAAATCTACTGGAAAAGAACATTAATAGAGAATGATGTGGCTTCCATTGAATTTGTTTATTCAAGTAAAAAATAAATGCCTCACGACAAAATGTCTTCTGAATCTAATGATAAAGTTGAAAGTTGATCAGTTTACCTGGAACCTGTCTAGAATCCGGAAGTCTGACGAATAACGAGTGACCTGTCCAGCCTTGGAGGTCAGCTTGGGACTGTGAACCTCAAAGCATGACGGATCAATAGCTGATGTGTTTGTGATTGATTGCATGTAAGACTGCAGGGTTGCATCTAAATCTAGTAAAGGGAGACCTCGTTGTCGTTTTTCCTAATATAAAGTAGGAAACAGACACATTTTAACCAAGACGAATTTTACTTAGCATTTTAAATTCTTCAATAACGACACTAAACAGAAATCGGCTAAAATGTGAACTACTATTTTGTTCATCTATATAGCCGTTATCTATTCTGGTACCATAAGGCTGAAGGAGTGCACAAACAACTTTATACTAAATTTATTCGCACTGTATTCGAAAAGACCCATGTACTTGTAATAAAGTTGCACAGTATAGCAAAGCTAGCCTTATTCGTTAAATTAAAAAAAAGGTAATTTTTCTAATTTAGCTCTCCCTGACCTAATTTCAATTTTTTTTTTTTTAATATCATTATTGTATGTGTATTTTGATGGTCAAAATAAATATATGAAATGATTGGGTAAATTGGTGTTTATATACCTGACGAACCAACAGCTTGCGTCGCAGCCTCCTGGCATTCAAATCTAACTCAACAGCTTCTGGACAATTTTCTAAGAATTTTAGAAGTTGTCTTTCTTCATAGATGCTCATTGGCAGAAACCTTCAAAGTAGTAATTAATATATTAAAACAGTTATTAAATTAATTAAATTTACAAAAGTATACAAAGAGATAAATGAATATATTCAGAAACCAAAACCTGAGTATGATACTCTATCGGAGTGCTACCCTGAAGAATGATCTTGTAGAATATAAGAAATGCTGGTAACCCAAAGATTTTTTCAATAAAATCAATGTTTTTTTATCATTATAATAATATGTATCTTAAAAACTTGAATAGGGCCTAGGGCTTCTATTTAAGGTTTTACAGTATATAGATGTATAGGTTGGTAAAGGAATGGATAGAAATTTATGAATTTTCAAAAAGATGTTTCAAAGAACAGATATAGACACATGATTTATTGATGGATGCATGCTAGATGATTGAAAGATTGTATCTATTTATATTTAAATGTGTGGAAGGGCAGTTCAGCCCTGCAAGAGAGTGTTCCATAGTAATCTTACTTTGGAGCCTGTGGTGCCCTCCTCTTTTTCACCTCTGTACTTAATGGCTTTGACTTCTTTGATATCTTAGCGATGCTCTCTGGAATTTCACCCGGCCTGCTGAAAATGGTTCCTTCGTATTCATCATCATCATCTCTGTGAAGTCGTCTTGCTTGCTGAGGGTCTGGTGTTTGCAGTGCTAAGGTAAAGCTTGGGATGGGTGTAGTCACTCTGGACACAGCTCTTGACGGAATACTCATTAGGTCATCTTCTTCATCCCCTTCCATTAGAGCGGAAGGCATACTTTCTGTATCATAAAAAATAGATTGTAGAAGCATAATTGTGATCATTACATATAATTTGACCATCCCACACCAAATGATCCTCTCACATGTTACATGATCATTTCATATGAGATAACAGCATATCATATGATTATCCCACGGCATACAATCATTCCATAGAACATGGACTTTATAAAAAAAATGCTTGTGTGGTGAGTAGGAGACTTAAGTAATCATCCAATATCATGCGATTCTAGGGAGAACACTCACCATCCAAAGCAAGATCACTCTCAGTAAGCAGGCCAGACATGACAGAAGAATCACAGCTGTTATCACCACCAAGCAGGCTTAGAATGGGAGGGGAGTCTGGCATAGTGGGAGGGCCACCAAGGGAGCTTTCACTGCCATTGAAGCTCTCTCTACTGATGTCTTCTAGATCGTATTCTCCAATCATCCGAGTTCGTACTTCTTCTAGTTTTGCTTTGCGTATGTCTTTTGCTTCCTGAGGAATAAGCAAAACATTGAGTTCAAATGACTTGGGATGAGGAAATAAAACATCCCTTGGATAGATTCCCCTGCCAGGTATCAATCACATCAGGTTTGATGATGGATGATAACCCCTCTAATTAACGAAAATATTTGTTATAAGATAGCATGAGACTAGTGCATGATTTAGAGGCCTACCTGAGTTCTGGATCTTTTCTCCTTCAACTCAATTGCAGATTCAAAAGATGACCCCCTCTTACGATTTCGCAAGCCTTCTACTTTGATGGTCGGGTCAAAGATCATGCGAGGTCTTCTGACAGGTAATGGTTTGGCATTAGACAATGCTGAGAAGGAATACGATCAATTAAGAAACCATAATGAGCAACACATTTAAATAACAGGTGCAGGCCCGGAAAAAAAGGTTTTGTGCCTCCGACTATGAAGATTATCTTGATCAAATGCCTCCAGCACCAAATGCTATCTTTACACTAATATAGTTTAACAGTAGTACATTTAGTGCTTTGGAGCAAGCATAAATATTTTATTTATGCATTAAATTGTGACGTGCAAAAAAAAAAAAAATTGTTTTTTTAAATGCCTCAGGATTAAAGGTCAATTCCTCCGAGCGCCAGTCTCGTGGTCACACACTTTTTCCAGCCCAGAACAGGCAATGCAATCACTCTTTAATAGCTTCTAAAGATGGTGGTTCTAATTTATGCAACATGTTACTAAACTTAGTTATTTGAATAAAATACGCAAATTAGTTAAATAAATATCAATGTTCTTACTAGAAGTATCTGGTTTAATGACCGGAGGCTTATTTTCAACCAGTGCCCACCAGCCAGATTCTCCAAACTCCCCAGCGCCTGAGCGGAACCATTGTTTATTCCCTACGGACAGGACACCTGCAACTGTCCCATGCCATGTTTGGCTTTTGGGTCTAAAATATAAAATCATATTCATAATTGATCAAGCTTGGGAAAATGTAAAAAGCAGAATATAACTTATCCATTGATTGAACCCAACAAAGTTATTCACATCCCAAAGCATTTTGTTGCATAATTAATAACATTAGCTATGTACATTTTTTTATGCAGTCATAATTATAAAACATACTTTCTACATCTTACCTACTACCAAAAATCAGACTCCAATTTTTAGCAATAAAATCACAAATATCCTCTTTCCATCTGAAGAACCCTCGCCTACCGCTCCTTTGCAGACTCAAATTAAACAGGGTTAAGATCACCACCTGTTGCCTAGGAAACACACAACAATAAAATATCAACAATAAATCATATTCTATTTATTATATATATTTATTTGTTTATTTATTCTCAGGTCATTTATTCCAAGGTCATTTGGCCCATGCTTAAGTGTTGCTACTGTAATCAGTGCAGGAGAAGGCAACCTTTATACAGCATTTTTTGATAGAGAATAGCAATGGTGATAATTTGCTCAAAGGACACAAGCCAACTGCACGGTGAGCGATCGAAACCCCATCCTTGAGGTTGGAAAAACAAACAGCTTCCACTGTGCCAAACGCTTATAAGCAATAACTATATATATATTACAATGTAAGATCCTGATGAACTTCTAACGGTAAAAACATAGACTACAGTTAATTAACAAAAGGAAGATGCCCACTAAACCAATTATTTATTATCTATATAATGGCAATAAATAATGCAGCTTATCTGGCACTGGCACTGTCCTAACTTTGCTTATAAATATAACTTATAGACACACAATTCTTCAAAGCAGACGGAATCTTACCATGTAAGTCTTAGACGCTCTACATCTTCTTGTCCATCTGATGCACAATTAGAACACGTCAGTTTAAAAAAGCTGTCACCTTCCAACGATGTTGGAGGTCCTGTCTTGAGGCACTCTAAAAATTACACATATGTTTAAAAAAATAAATATAAAAATACATTCATCATGGTTACTTTAATACAGTAGGGATCAAATTATACAGACTGTGCTAATCAGTGAAATTAATAACAATTACTCAAATTTGTTTTAGTGTAGGTGTGACTCAATGGTTAAGGTGCCCACCTTCCAATTCTAAAGTTATGGGTTCAACTCTAGTAAAAAATGTCAGGATTTACAACTTCACTCCCCAAGCCTTATTCGGAATCGACGTGATAAGAGATCCTTTGTGCTGGATATATCATGTTTATTAAATATGTGTATAAACAAACATTAATTTGCTTATCTTCCACTAACCAAAATGAAAGTTTTTTTTGCATTCTTCACACTGCAACTGGATACTCTCTTTACTGTTATCTCCACAATAACAAATATTTACATCTGGAATCTCATGTTCCTCATTTACCATCAGATCTGTTTTCTCATTTTCATCTTTAGCTTCCTCCTCATTTGTTCGTCTTCCTACTGTTCCACGGGCTCCTGGACTGGTGTCCATGGAAACAACATCAATTTCATCATTTTCACCCTTAAGATTAAACATACAGTATTGCAATTGTAAAAAGTAATTGAGTTACAGACAGCCATGTTTTTCAACCATCTGATTATATTAACTACCCGACTTGAGCCTTGATAATGTGGTAAATACAGTAGGTACGTGACTATTGGACGTTGTGATCGATCTTATGTTATGTTTTATCCAAGTTTATATTGTTCTAAAACCAATTTAATTTTAATTATATCAATACTTAATATGTAATATATGTATAATCATATTTCGATGAAATAAAAGTGGGATGACCATAAGAAAGAGAAAAAAAAATATTTTAAATGGAGGGTAGGAGAGGGGGTTGGGTGTCAGGCATGTGTAAAAACGTTTAAAGACATTATGGCATATTATAATTAATTATTTGTAATTGATTAATTAATAAAATTGTTATTTAATTATTAAATGATTAAATTTTAATGAGTTTTATAATGTTTCTTTTGTCCATTTTGTGTGCTTCTAAATGCTTTTTATTTTATTGAGAAATGTAAAGAAACAAAAAAGTTAGAGCATTTTTTGTACGTTTTTTAAGAACAAGGTCACATACTTCTCCATTGTTTACATAGGATTTGAAGGACCAAAATTATTAGGCATAATTAATAATCTCTTAAATTCTGTAACTTTGCCGATATTTGACGAATGACAATGATCTTGGTATCAATTTAATTCTATAATTTTTAATACGCTTTCAAATGATACCTAAATACAGCAACTATGAAAACGAAGGCCTACATTGAAGCACAGTAGGGTCCTCCAGATGGATGCCGGGACTACATTTCCTGGTATTTAACCTACCGGTAGGCCCAGGCTACAGAGGACCACAGCTCGTCGTAAGGCCATATAGCCGGGCAGATAACATCTCTCTTCTCTGATCAGCGAGAATCTATCTACCGTGCGTAGTAAGTAAGGATGGATGAACGAAGCCTAGGCCTAGCCTAGAGAGGAGGGCTAACTCCAAGGTAAACATGGGCCTCATAACAAGAAAACCATGCATAAAAATAAAGGTTATAATTTTACATAAATGCATTTTTCAATTCATAAATACCTGATCTCCTTCAGCCGTTGTTTGAGTACTTTCTGACATTGTTTCTGAAACAACCGAGAACATGCAACTTTTATCTTTATTTATGAAGTGAGCCCTCTATTGTGTGAATTCAAGAATCGATTTTCTAAACAAAAGGCCCTCTTCCCCCAGTGGCAGATTGGCTTATTTATTTAATTTCATTCATTCAAAACCAAAAGCGGAAAAATAATCTCCACTTACAGGTTTGTAAACAGACAGAATCGGTTGCTCAGACTGATCCTCTGCTGGTAGACCTATATGACGATGTTTTTCGAAGGGTAAAATAATGAGAAAATTATTACTGAACGAAAACTTACTAAGATTTAAGAAATTGCATCCATATACAGTAAATAGGCCCTGACGTAAGGGCTAAGAAACGGTATGTTGAATAATCGATTAGCACGTCACCAAACGCTTTCAAGTCGTTTTGTTTGTTTTCCTAGACAGGTAACTGTTTGTGGCCCCTGTCCGCCCATCAGCTATCTGTGTTCATTCGGCCAGGTATTGAACTCTTTTCATTTTTTCATGTTTTATATTTTGTCTTATAATGTATGGCTATATATTTAACAATTGAAAATTAATAATTTGTCTCAAATTAAAAGAAGAAAATAAAACATTATTAGAGTAGACGCAATCTGAATCTTATTTCTATAATTGAATTTTGGTTCCACTTTATAATCTTTATAGTTTCTGTGGGAACCCTTCATTTTTAACCTTGATGACTTCCATTAATTGCCTACTAAAATTATTTATAATTTAAAAGCTTTTAAAAATGAATAAACGTTACTTTGTTGTAAGTCGACTTTAGAGGCACTTATTCGAGATTGGTGCTCATTCCAGAGCGGCGCTATTACTCAAATTACTGCAATGCGTGTACCATGCATTGAATATGGATATACAGTAGTCCTATCTAATTGCAATTTTAGTATTATGTAATCAGTAATTTATTAACTAAACCATCCAATTATAAAAAACATCAAAGCATGTGAAGTATTTTCTCTCGATTAGTACTGTAAAGTTTATTAAAAATAGATTAAATCTCTAACAAATGCCGCGGTGCTTATTTCAGAGCAGTTAATGGAACTTTAATGGTAGGCCTACTCATTTGATCATGTTGTTTTTAATAAAAACAGAAGACTGTTATAGGTAAAGTCGTTAACTTTTAATTGCCACATCAATAACTAATATACTGTACATTACTTCTGTATTTACACTCAAGTAATTAATATTCACATAAATAAACGATTTTACACAAATTCAAGGTTAAGTTTCATTAATCCAATAGGGATTAAGTATTATAATTCTCCATTAATCCAGTAATTCTTCATTAATTTACACCAAATTATATTCTAACATGAAATCGTCAATATTGTTTACACAATTGTATTAATTGGTATCTATAATCTCAGTCATTTTCAAGTAAATATAAAAACTGAACAATATTAATACACTGTATTGCAAAGTAATAATCCGGTTTTCCACAAGTTAGGTTATCTTTAGTAACTTTTCGATTTCTATCCTAAAATTCAGACAATAATGAGAACATAACATTGTTACATGTGCATATAACACATGATGTCATTACATTTTAGATCTTACCATCATCACACAATTGACAAATCCCTATTTATAAAGTATAAAATAATAAAATAAAGTATATACAGCTCTATGGGGTACAGTATTGCTTGCAGGTAACAACTCCCAAATCCTAAGAGAAGCTCTAATGTAGATTTTCATTGAGCCTTGCACCTTGAATACTTTTGTTAAGCTAAAATATACGCAAACATAATTATGCGTTTGTGGGACAAACACCTGTGTTTATAGAACACGAACATATTCCTGGTGTGTTCTGATTGGTCAGTTATTAAGCTTGATTGACACTCCGATAGGTCCATTATCTTGTTTGTACTATTACCATGGAGGTAAATTACCTCCATGTTACTATCTAAACACAAAACACTTCATTACAGTGAAAAATAAACAAAGCTTTAAACATAAAACATGTTTTCCTTTATTCAACACAGTTAATTACAGTCCTGCAGAAGTGGAAAGCTGTGACTGAACAATTCTACTTATTCAACTTGTGGAATACCAAACTGGTGATACTCTGGTGTCATCCTCAACTCTAGGCCCCTTCCTCCAATTATCCTTAGCTTTAGGCCCCTCTCGACACCATCATCATTCTTAGTTACCTCCCCTTAACAATCATCATCCTCTCGGGTTCTCTCGTCATCATTATCTCTTGGCCACTTTAATGAGATCATCCTGTAATATCTTGTTGTACTCGTTCAGCTGTTGCTGTACATCACGTACAATAGGCTGGTAGTCACTCTCCATGCCCTTGTTAGCTATGACTAAAGACAACTTGTTAGGGAAACATTCTCAAATGCTAATGAAACTATTTGTTTTATATTCTGATCAACAATAAAGGATTATATTATGAAAATATGACAATTCAGCAATTACCAATTAATGTCTAAGTGTATGATTTCCAATGATTTAATTACTGAATTAGTTATTAATTACTTACCAATCATATTCATCTGTGTATTTATTTCGTGAATGTGATATTATGTTCATAAGTGAGATTTTAGTGAAAGTAGTGAAAGAAGTAGAAGGACAAATTGAAGAAAAAAGACCAAGAAGAAAGGAAAGTATAATAGATAATCTTAAGGGTAAGAAGACTCATGCTTGAATGAAAACCAAAACGAGGACAGATGCCTGTGAAGAATTTGGTAGCTGATAACCTGCCGGACAATAGGTAAAAATAGGTTATTGTTGAAAGTCTTCATGGCCAGTAGGATAACGGTAGATTTCTGCTTCACAAGTAATCTACCTTAAATGAATACAAAACAATACAATTAATTAATATGCAAAATAGAAGGATACACTCTTTCATGACAAAGTTGTTCTGTTCATGATGTTGCCATTTGCGTTCCATGTTGCCAAGTTGTGCATATGTTTCATTCTCACTCAATTGGGCTTTCAATGCCTCATACTGACTGGATAGATCCTGCATATCTACAAGGAATAGAATCAGATTAAATAAGGATTAAGGATTTAAATAATGTACAGATTAACTTCAATAAATTAATTGGGGGTTCCAGAGTTAAAATGTTGTGTTATTGAAATTAGAGAAATGATAATTCTTTCATTGACTGTTCATATTAAAAATAATAATCTGTATTTCTAATTAAAAATAATAGACATTAGTAAATAGAATATTAATTACCATTTATATGTTCTTACCCTTTTTGAAAATATCTTTTCTCTTAGCAAGAATGACTTTTTCTTGACCAAGTTTCTGTGGAAATAAAAGTAAAATGATCAAGTTTAACTTTACAACATTATCCCACACCACTAACATAACCACCAACCACCTCAATCACCACCCTCATCACCACCATTACCAAAACCACCACCACTATCACTAGAACCACTGCCATCTATCTTGATCACACCACCCCTAATATAATCATCACCATAATCACTAACACCACCATCTTCATCACCACCATTATTATTAACATCACCACCACCATAAATACCATCATCACTAACACAACAATCATCACCATCACAACCGCCACCACTAACATGTTACACCACTAACATGTTACGCCACAACCATCATCACCATAATCATCATCATCATATCTAGTATGACATATGTAAAGTACCTTCTTCCTTTCTTCAGCATTTCTCTTGACAGTGTCAACATCAATGTATGTCTTCAGTTCCATTTCCATCTGTTCAATAGAATCAGTCAACTGCTCCATCTCTTCCTTAATCTTCATTTCCAGCTGCTCTACCTTCTCCAGATCCTCTTGCAACCGTGAACTCTCTGAAAGAAAACACATATAGAGTGCAATAGGTATACTTTCCCTGAACTTCAGGAATTTCTTCTTGGATTAGAACCCCTAGCATAACTTTGCTAATAGGCTCCTCAATGTTGTCAGATCAAACTTCTTATATGGTGTGTATTTAATTTCATACACAGTTAAATTGGCAGAAAGGGAAAAGGTTTTTTAGAAAAAAATTTCAGTAATTACGAATCAATCTATTAGCTTAAAATTGCTAGGTTTCTGCTTAATCATAATCATGCAAATTACTTATTATTCACATTTATGTACATAACACTACATGTACCAGTACATTTTCGTTGCTATCAATAAGAGAGCCTTCATCAAGGAGAAAAATCACCCTATAAGAGCATCAAGCCTTGTTCCTAGAACAGTTCTCCATGAAAAAGAGAGAGAGCGGTGGGTTTAAACCATGGTCGGAGCTGAGGTAAAAAAAAAATGGTTGTGGCACCACTAAATGACCAAAAATGGCACTCTCCCTTTTTCCTCCATTTTTTTTTATCATTCTGAAAACTTTAGGGGGTCCTGGGCTGGCTCCCCCCACCCTCGATTCCACACTAGAACCAGCAAGGAACAAGCACAAACAAATATGAGAAAGGAACACTGTAAAAGTACTATATCACTGTCAAGTGCAGGAATGATGTAAGGTCACTAATTGACCTTACTAGAGTGTCAATCAAACTTTACAACTGACCAATCAGAATGGGACCCTAGCAACATTATCCAAGGGGCAGGGCTTAGTGGAAAGGTCCATTCTCTTACCACCTGCCAGTGATGATGCAGTAGCTTCTGACTTCTGCATCTCATTTTGTTTGAAGTTCAAATCATCTTGCATGCGAGCCAATTCCTTAGGAGTTGGCATGTGCTTCTGTCGACCGACATTCTGAAAAGTATAAGATTTAAAATTAATGCATTGAACTAGGGTGATGGTGCTTAATAGTTTACCAGTTTAGCAAGAATCTTTTTTTTATGTCTGGTAATTTGACATAACTTATTTATCATAAAACGAAACACCACTGATGACTACTGTGTAATAATTCATGATTGATCGATTGCTCAATTGATTTATTGACAGATTAATATCATATATTTATTGGTGATTGATACATTGATTGATTTGAATCATATTGCAATAAATCAATCAATCAAGAATGTAAATGACTGATTGATTGATCTATAATTTTGAGGAATCTTTAAACTTACCCTGCTAATGTGTCCAAGTAATGCAACAACGCTTCTCTGTAACACCTCAGTTCTTTCCTAATAAAAGCAAAGAAAAATTTCAACAAAGTAACATAAGATATATGAATTGTATAATATACAGACTGATGAAGTTAGTAATAATATAATTTATGATAATGTTGATAATGATGCAAATAATTATGATAAAGGTGATGATTATAATTACAATGATCACAACCATGAAGTTGACGACAGCAAAGATAATGATCGTGAGTAAGAGGATATTTCAAGATGAACATAAAATAAATGTAAACACTTACTATCTCAAGCTTTTTTGTTTCTTCAAAACTCTCAAAGAATTCTAAAGAAAAAATACAAAATATATATTAATTTACAAAAATCATAAAGTAACTATAACATCATAATATATAAGAAATATACTGTATCTTATGAATATTACCAGATTGTAAGATATAAAAGTTCTAAAAAAATACTCAAGCTTGGCACCTTCAAAGCAGCTATGCTATCCAAGCAACTAAATACTTTATCTTTCACTTTTAAAATAAAAATAAAATAATAGCAGGAATACAAATAATTGCAAAAAAAAATACTTACCACCCATGGTTCCTTCTCTTTTCCTTAATTCCTTGTACTTGCTGTTCTTTTCACCTGTTAAGGTTGAAAGATACAGTCAATACAACAGAAAATAGTAACTAAGTACATTATTACCATATACAATATGCATTGTGGACAGACGAAAGATAGCTGGTACCGATTTACAGGGTAGTTTAGACACGAAGAGACCCTTAAGGGAGAAGAAAGTTACTATGTGAGCTAGTCCACACCTCGAGCGCTTTGAGACTTCGGTATAAAGTGCTATATAAATCCACCCACATTACATTATATGCCTGTTAAGTATTAGGAAATTGAATCAAGATTCAAGATTTCATTAATTGTCATATACAAGCCAAGTACGTGAGATTTGCTTTTCAGAGCAAGGAATACACAAAAATATACATACAGATAAAATTACAATACAACTATAAATGTAAAACTACACAGTACAAAAGTATTTAAATTACAGTTAAATTAATCTAACAATTAACAAGAAATAATAATGTTGAATTTGGGTCCTATGACCAAACTAACATAGAAAGAAATGGTAAGATTCCATGAGAATGTGGGGGCATTGATGGTCTTATTATTAAAGTTTGTAAGATTCAGTGGAGATGGGACGGGACATACCACCAGTCTTTTAACTAGAATTGGAAAGATTAAGTGAAGATGGATGCGTATTACTACCTTGATGGTCTTCTAGTTCTTGGTCCAACTCCTGCAATTCATCTTGTAAACTTTCCACTTTGCCTCGCAAATCTTTTGTCCTAAAAGTTAAAAAAATTGCAATTTCAATTATGATTTGCTGCTACAGTACTGTCATTAAGACATTACAAATACAGTATGAATATTTGCTGTACCATGCAGTAGCAGTCTGGCGCAGCAGTTGTGTTCGAACCTTCGCAGTGCATTTCGCTTGTGTCCTTCAACAAGGCACTTTACCTTATGTTTGTCTCTGGTTGGAATATTCTGGAGAGGTTAAAAAAGGTGTGTGGAAAGGAACTGGCAACCCTACCACAAAATTCTGCGGCTTAGTACATTGGCCTTCGGGCAGCTCATTCCCCTAAGTTTATTATGAATACAAGACCACCTTTACCTACTTTACTGTAGATTACTGCATAACACAGACACATAACTTCTACAAATATTAATAGGGCGCATTCGATTGCGCGTCGAAGGTAGGACATAGAACGTAATGACGTCAGTAAAAGTCATCTGCGCATGCGAGAATGTTAAGGTCACCTCGTCAAGTAGATTCTTGAAAGCAATTTGGCCAAAGCTACGTATGCAGAGAACATAGGACACCAGGTAGGACGGTCACGCATGAGTGATTCCGTTCTAGCGTCGCGTCGTCGCACAAATCGCAAGCTCCCTATTTACTGAATTGTGTGAACTCACTGTTTTTCAATTCTTGCTATTTCTTGATTATCTTCCTTCACCTGTTTCAGAAGTCGTTCACGCTCCTCTGCCGGGGATCCCTTCGATTGTTCTTCTTGTATCAACTGTGTCTTCTTCGCTTCTAACTCATGAAGTTGTTCGTAAAGACGCACTGCTTCTTGCTTTACTTGAGACTGGGACAATTCCTACATCAGAATTATAAATGTAAATTATTAATAAATAATTTAAAGGTAGGAGAATAATCCATAACTCGCAGCATCACTGCACTGAATAGTGTATGGGCATGGTCTGTGACTACTGTAGAAGTCGTAGAGAGGCACATAGTTTGCATCATTCCACGATGACTCCTGAAAAAATAGTCATGTTAAATGTGCTAATGGGCTAAAGAATGATAAAACTTTGATTTGACACACAAACACATACTAATATTATCAATAATAAATCATACATCTTCTAGATTCTCCTTCTTCATTGAGATCATGTCCAGCTCCTGTTGTTTGCTTTCCAGGTCCTGCAGCAGTGTCTCACTGTTCTTCTTCAAGTGCAAATACTTCTGCTTCATTGCAGGGTCCTTTGAGTAAAAATATAAAAAAATGTATCTATTACGCATAAACACAGAGAGTAAGGGTCATTAAAAATCTGGTCATTTGACTAGACTTCAAACTGATATATCAATTAATTAGATGAAAGGTCCCACATCTTACTTATTGTCTATTTCAATTATTTGACTTGATTGATTTCTACTACAAGTGCAGGCCAGTAACCAGAGATTTTTTAAAAGGTTACCTATGAGAACCAGGAGTTGGGGGAGGAGGTGGGGAGGTGCCCCTGAAGCTCATGCATTCTAGCATGTAAATGGCAAAATTTATCATGATATTGATATTTGATGCAAGGGGTAGGAGTGGTTGGATTTATCACTGAGGTTCGCTTGAAAGAAGGTTCGGTTGAACCATATAAAAACCCACTTGCCTGGTTACGGGCATAAATCGTGTGAAGTTCTGAGTTGGTGGTTAAGATGCGTAACATCAACAGTCCAAGTCTTGTAAGGAGACTTGGGAGACCAGGAGGGTTACAAATTATTCTGGATGGATTGCACTAATGGAGGGGAGAGGTTTCTTACCATATCTTCAATAAGTGTGTCTGCCATCCTTCGACACTGCTGTATCTCTTGCTCAAGCTGAAGAATCTGTTGTTCTTTACTGGAAAAAAAAAAAAAGCAAATGTTATCAAAACCTTAGTGTATCGTGAAATCTTTGTGATTTGATGTATTTCATTCAGATATATTTTGGGTGCTTTATAAGTCTTCAAACTATTATATTATCATTATTATTAAAAACAAAATATAAATTCATAAGCCTAATACTTACTCTTGTCTTTCTGAGAATATTTGGTCTACATGCTTTGCCTCATCATCATTCATTTCTTTCAGCTGCAGAAAAACAACACATTTTGTTTTTATATATAAATTCCAATAATATTATAAATATCATGTTGATTTATATTAATAAATATCATTTTATAATTTAAAATTTTTTCAAAGAAACAAGGTCTTGAGCAATAAATTTTCAAAGGTGTGTTGAAAAATCAATTACTTGAATAATCAATTAATGGAATAATTGTATACATAATTTAATGAAATATTAATTGATAACTATTTAATGAAATACTGATTCCTAACCTCATTGTAGTCTTCTAAAACATCATCCATCTCTGTGTCTGTGTTTACCTTATCAAGCAGCTAATTTGAAACGAAAGAAGAAGTAAATCAGTCATCATTGTTTGAAGTGGACTGGAAGTTTTCAGTTTGAGATATCAGAAGACTTATTTCCATTGGGGTCCTTCTGGTGGTAATTAGGAAATACACTGGGAGACAATCCCCTACTTTTTTTGAAGAGTATACTGCTTATTTTAACGTGCACATGGGACACAGGACCAACACCTTAAATGTCTCATCCAATCCAAAAGACGGTGCATACTCAAACTTGTATTTCAGCCCTCCAGTTCAAACTCAAGGAGAGCACCAATTAGAAAAGACCTTTTACAGAATGTCAATCAAACTGACCAATCAGGAATACGTGTGTTGTCACCACTGATCTCTACTATAATAGCTGGATTGCTCATCGGCCAATCCTGGTACAGAAAAAAATGAGGCCTCCGACGCCATGTTGGAGGGCCTTCGTGACGTACCAGTTTAGAAAAGTTTCTTTTGGCATTTGTTTAAATTATAGTTAAAAATAACAATTCTTGCAATAATTTTCAATAATAAATTTAAATTGAATGTAAAAGAATTTTTTAAAAACCATTTAACCACTAAACGCAACTGTTTATGCAGTTTAAAAGCGCAAGCTATGTCGCGTTGTTATAGTGACGTCGCTCCCCAACAACGCAAATAACTTTGCTTGTGCTTTCTTAAACCGCATAAAAAGTCACATCAGGTAGATAGATGATTTGAAAAATAATCATTAAGTTAAATTCAAATTTATTATTAAAAATGTTTTGCAAGAATCGTTATTTTTAACAACAATTTAAACAAATGCCAAAAGAAATTTGTCTAAACTGGTACGTCACTTAGGCCCCCCAACATGGCGTCGGTGACCTCACTAAAACCAGCCAATGAGCAATCCAGCTACTATAGTAGAGATCAGTGGTTGTCAGGCATGTGTGTTGTTTTGGTGGGACCTTAGCAACAATATACAAGGGGCGGGGCTTAGTGGAAAGGTCCATTTCTTCCCAGGGACCACAGATCCCCATGGTTAAGCATACACAGTGGCAACCACCAGTGTGACTGAACTAAGCTACCTACTAACCATATTGTAATCTCCCAGTTGCCCTTGTAATTGTCGAATCTCATTTGCCTTCAGTTCCGCTCTGTAAACAATATCAAAAAAGCATGACAAATGTGCAGAACTCAAAGCAAGATTGATACAGGATTTAAACCAATGAACTCCGTTCCAACGCTCTACCAACTGAGCTAACAAAACCAAGTACAATAACTAGTTTGCTCAATGGGCTAACAACAGCTTCAAGTTTTCCTTCTTTAACCAATGTTACTTTGAATAAGCTATTAAGTCTCATATTTAGTTACCTTTTCTCATAGGATAGAAAGCTATCATTCTCTTCATTAACTATGTCAATCTCTTTTTGAAGTCTGGCATTCTCTGTAGACAGCTCACTCATCTTGGTCCGAAGTAACCCAAGATAGTACGACCTGTCCATGACCACACGCTGAGGGCCTATATAAAAAATAATGGTTTAGCTACAAGATAGTACGACCTGTCCATGACCACATGCCGTGGACTTAAGTTATAAATCTATATACTGTCTATGAAATATATATATTCTGCATCTGATAATATGATGCTAGAAAACCAAGTCTCATTTGGGAACACTGATGCTCTATAATCAAGCTCTCTATGTGGCTTTCAAAGTAGAAAGCTGATCATTTGGCACCCTTAATATTCTATACCCAAGTATCTTTATAAGACTCCATCATTGGGAAGCGACATGCTCTACATAACTAAGTTTCCTTATGAGGCTTAGACAGTGGAGAGCTGATAATCTTGGACCCCTGAACATAAATAATAATAATACCTTTCATGAGGCTTGGAGAATTTACTTGTTTTTGGATGTGTGTAATGTTCTGGAATTTTTACAAGGAGTAACTCCAGGACACAGTATTGTAAAATATTTTAATCAAATTATAAAAATAAATTATTTATTTTTATTTCAAATATTGACTTTACCTTTCTTTGCTGTTCTCATTCCTCCCAAACCCTGTTGGGTTGTTGGTCGATCAACAACATTTATCTTTGAATCCAGCACTTAATTAAGAAAACAAAATTAATATTAAAAGAAATAATTAACATCATAGCAGCAAGGATATTGATACTTGACTTCATTGTTATTAATAACATCATAGTTTGTAGATTTCATGTCAATTACAATAAACATGTAAACATTTAAATAAATAAATAAACATAAATAAATATATATAATATAAATAAATAAACATATAATATAGATAAATAAATAAATATGCAAGAGATATCAATATTAACACAATTACCACCATTCACAAATTATACATTAATATTTTCAAACATTATTTTTCTCTTAATTTTTGTTATTGTTTAATATCGTAGAGCACAAAGAGGCATTAGCAAAGTAAGCTGTATCAAATGACAATTATTATTATAACTAATAGACCCACAATCAAGCTGTTACTAATTAATCGAACCTACCTCCACCCCCTCCTGTCATTGGTACCCCACCTCCTCTTGTTCCTGGTCTACCAGTTCCAGGTACCTGTCAATAAATAACAATTTTTTACATTTTATTATAACAGTAGTTTTTCATTTCATTCAATTTTCTGGTAATCTACTGTATAAAAACATAAAATTTTGATAAAGTACAATCAGCACCTGTGGGTAACCAAGGGTTAATCAATTCATTAAAAAAAAATAGTAATTAACAGCACTGCCGAGCAACATCTCTTCAGATCATTCATATTTAGACTACTCTACAGAATATTACAAACAAAATGCATATTTTAGTTTCATATCTTCTGTATTTAAAGATGGCTTTCTCATCTAATTGAAAAAAAATTGTGTTTTTATACTTTGTATTGTTAATGTATTAAATTGTTGTGGATATTAGCAGGCAAATGAAGCTAACATGCAAGTGTCAAATAATAATATTAATGACTTCATTTGAAAACAGAAAAGTAATTGTTTTTGACAAGGCTGTTTAAAAGTATATATTAACAAAAAATTAAATTACAAAATCAATTACAAGACAAAAGAAAAGACTTAAATAATTAAAAACAAAACAGAAATAAAGAAGTAAAAAAGCAACAAAATATATATTATCTTAAGAAACTTTCAATTATTTGTGCATAGTTTTTTAAAAGTATGAACATTTGGTGCCATTCTCATATTGAGGTTTAGGTTATTCAAGACAATGGCTCCCTGATAGGAAAAACTTCTTTTCTTATACTATTCAGTACTTGGTTTGGGTACATCAAGTAAATCATTAGACCTGGTCATATATGTTTTATTGCGCTCTTGAAATTTTTTTTTTAAAAATAAGTTGGCATTTTAGAATTCATTATTTTAAACATGGTTACAGACACAGTTTTGTATTTAGATTATTCCAGTTGAAGCTTGTGAGTGCTCAGGGCCAGATTAACATAGGGGTGTTTGGGGTGCCAGCCTCAGGCCCCAATGGGGAAAATATACCCACACAGACCCCGGGAAAAATCACAGAAAATCTGGTTTTATGTTTTAGCCACAGAGTATTTAGTCCCACTTGCAATTACAGCCCCAGGCCTGCCCCACAGCCCTTTAATCCAGCTACGTGAGTGCTTCTGAACTTAAATAACATCTTGAAATCTTTGTGAAAATTTTAGCAGCCCAATTTTGTTATATTTGAATTTTATTTCGTAGTCTGACTCCACACAGCTTACCATTGCTCCAGTTGGCATTCTCATTGCCGTTCCTGGTGGTGGTTGTTTCATTCCTGATGGAGGCCTCATTCCTGTGGTAGGACGGCGACCTGAGCTGCTCATTGGACGACTCCTGCAAAATTGAAATTTGCATATTTTGTGAACAATATCCACTAACTGTGAGTGTGAATCTACACTTGGATATCGTACTTGGTTATTTTTATTATTTATCTGAAGTGAAACGTTCGATCCACTACTGTATCTCTAGCCAATTTAGTGTTATACGTGGTAAGCAAAGGTTAGTTCGACATGTAGAATTTAAGGAAGAAACAGCGACTAATGTTTAAGCTTAGGGCCAAGCGAGCTCCATCAATCAACACCTCAGATTTGTATAAAATAAAATGGATAATATTCTTCTGACATGACAGAGTACATGAAGATAGCATTAAGCCAGCTCCAACAATCAGCAGTCAATGGATTTGTGCAAAATGATCAAAACAATTATGTACCACGGCCCATACTGTAAAATTGTTTATAGCTCGGATGATACATCAAAAATAGGTGCGCTGAATCATAACAACTACATAATACAATGGCCCGGTTATATTATTAAGATTAGGTCAAAGCCTAATTTTCAGCAAAATCTGCGGAGAAAGCGGCCCTTATTATTTTCCGAAATTTGCAGACGGAGGATTTCTATTTCTATTTTTTTCACAAAAAGATACTCCCTGTGCAGGCCTTAGTTTAGTGTAAATTAGGCCTAGGTCTACTAGTAGTAGTAGTAGTAAGTACTAGGCCTAGGCCTAGCCTACTTTACTACAGTCTGGCTGGGCTGTAGGCCCTACCACAGCCAAAATAAATCATCAGAAAAATACAGAAAGAAGAAATTATTATACTTATATATCTTATAATATTGAGTAGTACAGAAATTTTATGTCAAAGTCTACTCTACTGCTAGGCCTAGGTTAGGCCTAAGATGTATGCTATTGCTAGGGCAATTCTCTGTCAGATGGACAGCACTAAAGCTGAGTTGTTGCGCCGTTCTGAGATCGCTAGGCTAGCGACTAGTCTAGCCTAGGCTAAAGAGCTAGACTAGCCTGTGCAGGACTAGTTACTAGTATCTAGGCTAAGAATAATTTTATAATAGTCTGTTTTTAAATACAAACCCTCACATTTTAGCAAATGAGAAATAAACAAACACGTAAATAAAAGGTAAAAACTAGGCCTAGCCTACACAACCGCGTTTCGTTGGCAAGCAACTCAACAGGAATGCAACAGCAATCAAACTAAAGAGGTCGCTCTTAAGACTTAGATAAAATAAGATTTTATTGGTACAGTTACTCTTTTTAAAGCAGGGACTCCCACAGAGGTTCCACCCATATAAAACTAAATCAACTGAAAATATCATTATACATCACACTGAAGACAGAACAAATACATACAACTGCAACAAGGCATAGAAAGTATTAAAGTAGGCCTACCGTATATGAATACTAATTAGGGGTGGTAATGTCTTTCCGTTAATTTGGTTCTATGGGACATAGCCTTAACTAAGTACATTTTGCAATGGTAGTCAAATATTCTATAGATGCGTTCATTTTGGTAAATATCATAAAGATTATCAAGGAGTAAATGATATTTAAATTCAGTTGAACTGTTAATAAAAAGTTATATTCATCAATTGTACACAAGTAATTTTTTAAGTCGTTAAACATGTATTTCTTATGGGAGAAAGATTTTTGCAATCAAAAGGAAATGAACTACCCTGTTAGTTTCAATCTCATTGGTCTTGCAAATTGGATGGTTTGTGCATGGAAGTATTATTGAAAAAAGTATCTAAATGAGATACCTCCATGTTGACCAGACCGTTTCTTGCCCTCTAAATATAAAGTAGGCCCTATTGGTTCTTGTTTAAATTTTAAGTTTACACCCAAAATTTAGTTTATCTAAAAAATAGTATTCCATACTCGATGCATTCTTATAATTAACATAGGCCTAACTATTTAATGTTTTTTTTTTCTTTGCTTTCAAAGTACCGTGCATGTATCATTACTGTGTGAAACTTCATCCTTAAAAGATTTTAACTACTGTATTGGTAGTTTTGTGTTTCCATATAATAAAATTCTTATTTAGATTATACTTTTCTAAGATTGTTTTTACATTATCAATCCATTTCCATCTTGTATTGTAAATGGTCTAACCTCCATAAGTGCCTTACATAGACCTAATAGCCTTGGCCCTCTATCATCTATCAAAGTATTTAATTCTATTTTCCATGGATTCCATCCTAGGTCACCAATTAATGCTTCGTTAGCAACATTTCTGGGCGCTCCCAAAAACATTTTTGCCAATTTTGAATTAATATTGGTTTTCTAGTTTTTGGATTAAGGTCAGTGCGCGGCGCTTTTCGAGAGCGGCGCTTATAAAAAATATTGGCGTGGCTTTCCATAGACCTCCCGGGTCCTAGTCATGGTAAATAAACGTTTATAAAAAAAATCTTGTGTCTTCATTGTGTTATTTATTCATTTTAACACTGTATACAATGTATTCAAACCCTGTTTCTCAAAGTGTTTCATTACACACAGGGTAATTATCTCTCGATTGAGCGGCGCGGCGCAAATCAGGATTGATGCGGCGCTTATTCGAGCATTACGGTACTCAATTGCAGAGGGATTAAGAATTTTAGACAATTAGATATAGTATAAAGTATTTTTAATAAACGAAAGCAAGCAAGCAATAACAATAGCAATTGACAATTAAAATTATCAACTAACAATAGCAAGTAACACACCACAATTCCACAGCAATAGCAATGGTAACAGCAAGAATAATAAATGACACAACCCATAATAAGAAAGTATACATACTCCAAGTATTGAAATGCACGCCATCGTGCATAATACACAACCCATAATATGGATATTTAGAGTTCATCCAAAGCTGTTAAATGTATACATAGAATAAAATCACAAGACTCAACAAAACAGAGTTGTTTGATCATTTGGCAAAGGGCAAACAATAAATTAAAAAGACGGTTATAAATGTTGGGATATTTTTTTTGTTCCTCGGACCTTTATAAACTCGCTGTGAGTTTATTTGTTGAAGTAACCCGCTTTTGTTTGCCCAATGTTTGAAACATCGTACAAGAGCCTACGCAAATCAATAAGAAATCATTCATTTCTATTGTCCCGTGGGAAACGTCTGAATAGCTTCCCATAGCAACGGGTTGGCCAATCACATGGCGTGGTCCATTGCATGGATGGACACCCCAAACATTAAGAAGTTGTGGGTAATCGTGTGTGTAGAACAGCCTTTTTAGAAGCTTGGTTATACTGTAAAACTAGGGAAGGTCTTGTCGAACAACAATAACTATAAGAAAGTAAACGGAGATATATACAAAATAAAGGTATGTTCAGAACGATTTTAACTAGCATTCTTGATTTAAAACTCATACTTTTAATAATCATTTATAGTTTCTTGAATCTTTATCGTCTTTTCGTGACGTGTAGAAGTTCTTTCCAATATACGAGAGTTCGTGTCGTATCATCAACAAATTACACTTCTTGAATTCAGACATATGCCGATGTACTATTCAGATATAACTCGCCGTTGGTCTGATCATGGGCTTATCGAATCAATTTTAAATACCGGTACTGCATATTCTATGCGTAGTCTACAATTATGATTGAGCTCGATTAGTATTCTACTTTAACACAGACACGTAAGTCATTTATATAACCTATACTGCTATAGCTTAACTTTCAGAAGGACTGTCTATATGCACATTACATTTTTTCTTAAAATTTTATTATTTTAAGTACACCTGTTTGCTTTGGGGGTTGGTTTTAGGGTAGAGCGACTTGCTGAGTCAGTGTTCTTATTAATATTTCTTAAACCTGTCCACACCAAGGACGGTTTCAGCAGAAACAGGTGGCTACTTTTGTTCCTTTCTTTACTGCAATCAGCAGGCTAGATTAAATTGCGGTTCGTGTCAGATCTTATGAATTACACGTTTCCCCCGGGCGGGGTAAATTTACACAACAAAAACTAAAGAACCGGCGACGGTAGCGGTCATATTAATTAATAACTCGATCATTTACGTTAAAGTTAGTATTACATTTTGAAAATCTATAAACAAATATTTTTTTTATGGTCGGATGCAAAATGTATGGGTCGAGAATTTAAGTTGATGTTTGGGCCAAGAAAAACCCAGATCAAATTTTTAGATCTACAGGAAGTATAATTGTCCCAATTTAGGGGTCGTTCCCCTCTGAAAGTGTACTTAAAAAATGTTGATTTTGTAAAACCTTTCTCCATTTTTTGTGAAGTTATACTGTACTTATCTACATGAAACTGTATATGATATCCATGGTTGCATTATAATTGGTCATCAAAATCTATATTTTAAATATTGCATGTTATTTATAATCAACGTTTTCATGCATATATAAAAGAGTACAAATTTGTCTACCCCATCCCCCAGCGTACCGTTAATACACTTGTGAAAATGTTGATAATTGTGAACGACCCCTTACAAACCACCTTTAAAAGAATTTTCCATCGCCCGAACCCCGTACTCTACTTTCCCAGCCTTCCTCTGGTATTCTATCCAAATAAATTCCGTACAGTGGTGGCAACTCCATTTCAATGACTAATATTTGTGGGGAACTATACTAAATCTCAAGCATGCAAATAATTGAGAGATGGGCCAGATGACGTAAGCTGAAAGAATGAATGGTACCGTATGGTATGGAATACTTCCTCCTCAATACATTTCTGTACATCATGTGGATACACAACCCATCAAGGGCATATAGATTTCTTAAATTTCATGATTTCAATTTTTTTTTTTAATCAAAAAAATTTCAAATGTCTATGTTCTGAACAATGACAATAAATAGGCCTATGATTGATAGATTGAGATTGATTTCATCGTTCAAAAAATAAATTAAAGAAACTTTTTCGTCTCGAATTAAATATAGCCTTGGAATAAGCCTTTTCAGCAAAATTGCTTCGCCTCCCAGTGAAAATATTTGACGTCATTTTTTCAGTTCTTTAATCTCGTTTCTCGCCATCTAAATCGTGCGCGTTGACAATTATTTTTCGTGATCTTCCTGTGCTAATCTTCCATGACCTCGTGCAATTTACCTCACCGGATAGTATATGACTGTTGAATTAAGGATAATAAAACAAACTGCAGTTTTACAGAAGAATAACGGTTTTAGCTGATTGTATGATCATTGATCTGTTTTGGCGGAAGCTCACCATCTGCAGCGAATAATATGTTTAAAAACCCAACACAGTAGCGGTGGGGAACAGGGTACGTTTGCCCTTTACTTGGCCATTCTCGACTCTCAGCTAGTTCCCCTTGTTGTTTCGATATCGAAACCATGATGTATTTCATTCCTTCCTACACAAATATGTGACATTGGTTGACCCCTTGCAGAGCACGATCGTCTCCAAGGAGATGTAATTTATGGCTCTTTTCGCATGTATTGGAAAACTTCTGGTTGTTGAAATCCTCAAAGATTTCTATAGTGTTTACGGCGTATAATCACGGGTCGGCCAAATACACGCAAATCACGATCGCGTCTCGGAACGCGAACTGAGCGCTGCACGTAAGCATGTTCGGTATGTCTTTGAACTTCAAGGCAATAACAATGCTGGGACGATAATCATGGATATTTGTACATATTCAAATCATGGTAGCATATAATTTTATATTAATTATCATTCACAATTATTACATCAAACGATGGTCTAATCGAATTTCAAATACCGGTACATCGTCGTGCAAAGCAATACAGTAATCGTTTTCCATGTTATCGTGATTGACGATTTTTCGTCTAGATTCAATAATGTGGTACCAATTTCGGAGAGGTTTTCCTTCATTGGTGGAAATGAAAAAATATATATAAAGGCCTATGAAGGCTTTAGCCAAGCAGATGGATGTCCAACACTGCGCAAAGAAAACTATTTAGAAACATATTTGTTATACAATGTAGATCTTAAACTCTGTCCAGACTATTAAAAAAAAGTTGTATGCCCATATATAGTCATGAGGTGCCTATATATGGCCATGATCTGACCATATTTAGGCATGTCACATGTTTTTGTCAAATAGAATTTGATAGTTTGAAACTAAATAGTTTAGTTTGATAGTTTAGGCCTATGCCTACATAATGGGCATCATGTGGTGTCATCATGACCATATTTAGACATGTCACATGGCCTTAGATACGCAATGCCAGGATTATAATGATTTTATCATGTATTTCATAAACAACGATTAGGTGAAAACAGGTGAAAATTTAAGCCTAATGCTAATGAAACACAAACTAACTTGATGAAAATATAGAAGTAGATATATAAAGCAACATTATCAATATAAACTTTGACAACCAATTAGGCCGCCATAAATAATAGTAATGTCATTTAACAAAACAAAGTTCACTTTCTAAATCTGAAGTGTCTTGATAACCACACACGATAACAAAAGCAAACAAAAATCTAAAAAAATATTATACATTTATACTCTACTTGACGCCACAGTAATGTTCATATCAATATTTGTAATACTGTCTGTGTTTTAAAAAAAAAAGTTTAATTAGCCTATAGCCTTCAAATAAAAAAATATATTAATAATAATACTGGTTCATGACTTTTCATCTCAGGTATAATATATTTAGGCTTATGATTTTTGTAGTAAATAAGTTTGACCTTAAAAAAATTAGCGGTATCAATAAATGTTTACAGCATATGCTTATTTGATACAATTGAATAAGTCATTTAATTTACCGCCTGAAATTTGAGGGAGGTATTTTTTTCGTTTTCCGTTAATAATAATTCACCGAAATACATAAACATAGGCATTTAATTTCGGAATTTACATATAGGTTTGTAGGCCTACCGCAGGCCAGCGTACTGTGAGTCATCCGTACCATGGTTTATTTTATTAACAATCACCTTTGATCCAGAAGTTCTCGGGATCATTGTCACAGCAATGGAACACAAACTACTCGAGTCAAGGTATGAGGAGGAGCTTCGCTTCGCTTACCGGGTACCCCATTAGGCTGGTAAATTCTCCCAATAGATTTAACCGACATACAGTTGATCCAACAAGCACTACCATTATTTTCCGAGAACTGTCAGAATTAGTAATTGCAAGCAGTAGGCCAAAATAACAATGGCAAAAGTTGGTGAGTCATGGAATTCTTTAGTCTGTTTCATACTTTCTCATAGAATAAATTTTTTGTTGACGAGTAACGTTTATAATACTTAGAGTGACAATGATCTGTATGTATTTTAGGTATAACTTGAATTTAAATTGTATTTTATTTCTAAATTCAATCCACTTGAAAAAATACTGTACTATAGAGGATTGTGTTTGTATTGCCACTCTCCTAAACGATTTTACGAAAATCGTTAATCGTCTATATGTAATCTTAAACCGCACTATTCTATTAATTATAATGAACATCTATTGACAAGCTTTCGTGTACAGGGTACACATGAATTTTGTTACTGTGTACATGAAAGCTGGTTTGGTAAGTAGTGGCTTTAAAGTGCTACCTGATTTACTTAATTATTACTTATTAATAGGTCCATGCTTCAAAGAGGAATTAGAAAAACTTGAAGGGGAGAGGTAGTGACGTTATCAAGGGGTTGCACAGAGAGGGAATATAATATTCCCCAGTCGCTCCCCCCATGCCGACCAAAAATCACGTTCAAGTATTTCAAAATGACCGCAAAAACAATTTACAGTATTTAGCGAGGTAGCACCCGTACCCCTCACTTAATCCTCGAGCTCACCAACTTCATCTTCGCACAGCGGCAGCCCTCCCCACAACCATTTCAAGACACCAGATACGCCACTTCCCACTGGAAAAGGAGAGGGTGGGCGGAGAGGTGGTTTGGTATTCTCAACATACAAAATGCTAGCCCTCACCCCCTGTAAGTGCTAAAAGAACAATTAGACCGTACTTGGAATGGGGTCTTCGGAAATGAAATTTAAAAAAATGTACCCGTCTTCCAACTATGTATTTTAAGCAACCCTACTTCCAAAGAAGAACTCTACTATTTTAAACTTTTCAAATGCTATGATTGGGACGAGTGTATGCATTTTCTATTTGATGTGTGTGAAGAAAATTAAGGTTATCTGAATATTATATTAGCCTGTATTAGTAGATCTATTGGATTTATGGAAAATATATAATAAATACACGTGTAAAATTAAAGATTATTATTTTAAAATTTAATTTAATTTCATTCCATGAAAGAGATCGTTGACATAAAAAATGTAAACATTTTAGACCATTCAGTTATCAGACTGATACTGTACTATACAAAATATAAGTAGGAATACACTACGCGAGTACACGAACTTAAGTAGGTGTCAGAAGTTATGTAGACACAGCTGGTTTGGTAGATAGACGTACAATAGACCTTTCCGGAGTGTCAATCAAACTTAACAACTGACTAATCAAAACAGCGCTAGGAATACGCGCGCGTCTTACAAACACACGTGTTGTCCCACAAACGCACATGTTCGCGTATGTTTTAACACCGCTGACTTGTGGGACCTTAGCAACAATATCCAAGGGGCGGAGCTTAGCGGAAAGGTCCATTTGAAAGTCAAGCATACCACATCTCATCTCATGTCATCTCAAATCATTTTATGTTCACATACCTAAATAAATATACATTATTAAATAAATGAATACATTACATTGATGTATATATAAACATAAACGAATAAAAATAAAAATTAATAAAAATATACAAATCTTCATTTTTTTGCTTTGTGCTGTGTTTTATTATGTGAGTGTGAACTACATGACAAAAATAGTAATAATCTTATCCATCTTATGGTTTTTATGAATGATTTTGAAAGCCTGTATTCCCTTTACACTATTACCCCGGTAACCGGGCATATTTCTTGTATTGTAAAGACACTGTGGTGCTGGCTTTTTGTTGTGCTTCCTCCATCTGTTTTTTGTGTGGAGTCACTTTGACGACGTAATTTTAATGATGGGAAATAAAATTAATTGAAAAAATGAAACATGGGGAAAAAACAAAACCCCAGGAAAACAGTAGGTAGAATAACCTTGATTCAACTGCAGTGGAGGTAAACTATTAACATGGTTAACAATGTCACCTCTATTGTCATTCAAACGACATAATTGAAATGAGCACATCACTCTTAATAATGCAATTACTGTCAATTCCAGCAGGCTTACAATGAGGGCATTTGCTTCTGCATTCCTAATGAGTTATAATTGTTTATATCACCAAAGACATTCTGCCATATCTATCACCAAGACAATGGCCATTGCAAACTACCAAATAAAAAATTCATTTAATTTTTTATAGTAGATAGGAGGTGGTCCACCAGATGTAGGAGTTTCTGTGCAGGGTGGGAAACCGGGAGGATGTGTTTAGGTGTTTCAAACACATGTATAATTATTAATTATTATTCTTGATAAAGATATAGTGTTGCATGTGTTCCGACAGTATATACATGAATAATCAAATTCAGAGAGACTTAAAGAAAACAGATTTATTTGTAACTAGGTCATCAGCAATAATGATAAAAAACATTATGACTCTTTAGATATCCAGAGAATAGTAAAGCAAGAAATGTTGGAAACTTAAACTTTAGATTGAAACAAATTTATGAAATATAAATGATGATGTCTTGTAGATTCAACAAGAAACGCAATAGGGCATTTTCTGTTATTTTGGATTTCTATTATACAAAAAAATTATTCCAGTAACATAACTCCAAAAGACAAAATGATAAGACAAAACTTAAACTTATAGATTAATAAAATAAACTTATAGCATAATAAATCTGTTTTATAGGTTCTCCAACATATCTCATATAAGAGGTTGTTTTTAAATTCTGTTTTCTGGGTATTTTTATGACTAAAATTGAACTGCTATATTTACACCTATAGTCAGTGGCATAACAAAGGTGTAGGTGATTTCTTTTACTGTCAAAGATTAAATATTGACTTATTAAAATGTAGGTGATTTCTTTTACTGTTTCTTATGTAATTAATTAAAATTTATTATGTTATATTCTTTTTTCTTTTTTTTTTTTATTAAAAACTTTTGCTTATGATAAAATACATTTGCATTTCTTGCTTTTCTGTCATACTTTTTTGTCTGTTTTATTTTTTACTTCTTGTGGAGGGGTGCCATGAGCGTTTTCTTTAAATGGATACCGGCACTTTAAAAGTTTTCATTATTATTACTATTATTTTCTTAACAGAAATAAATATGCCAGTGTTTAATCCATCAAATGGTCAACCACTCGTTGTCCCAAACACACTGGGTTACAATATGAAAACTAGTATGTTACCAACGACGAGAAAAGACTTTGCAGGTTCTAGGCCGGCAACAACCTCAGGCACCAGGTTTGGACAACTCAGCCAAAATCCATTCTTCAGGCACAACCCACATCCAGGACGTGTCCGCCACATCAAGGGTAGGAACAAACACATCTTCGAGGCTTGAAACGTTTTTATCTTTAAATGAATAATACAAGATGCATATTAGTTTAGCCAGTTAGTAGGTAGTTTCCAGCATCTCAAATATATTTGAAAAAAAATTGCAATGCATAATATTCCCTTTGCAACAAAAAACATGTTTTAAAAGCAGATAGAGTACTTGCAAAACATATAATTTTTACCAATGATAAACACAAATTATAAGCTGAATTTTCTTTGTTTTAATATATAATAATATGACTCTATGAGTAATAAATAAAATGTTAATGACTAAATAAAAATGACCAAAAATATTCCTATTTTTTATGGTGTCAGTCTGAAAAACTTGCCCCTAGACTTTGTCCCTAGGGGCAAAAATGTCATTATAAATATATAAGATAAAACAATTGCACTATAATGCTGTCATTGTAATACGTAAATAATTATAATAAAATAAATATAGTGTTATAAGTTAGTAAATTTATGAAGTGGAGTATTTGGTTAAATATGAGCTGGACACAGAATAGGTTTGTGAATGCAAAGGCAGATCAATACTGGATTGCTTCTAAAGAACCCTTTGAATGAGACTTAATCAACAACCCACACACAGCATGGCAATAAACATTCCAACAAGCTCATAAGTACCCCAGCAACATACACATGTTAGCTTTTTAAATCTACAGTGGCAGACAGGGCACAATTATAAGTGTATTATCTTGTGATAAGGTGCTTTCCAAACAACCCAATTGATTGCTCAAAGGCAGCCAACCTAAATCCATTACAAATGTGAAAGTATCATTTCTTTTAAAATTGAATTACATTATTAGTATATTTAAAAAAGTTAATGAAGCATCTTATACAGAATTTATATAAAAAAAGTAATAAAAATTACAACAAAATCAATAGTTATAATAATCATTATTATCCACTATTGTGTGATTACCCCACCTTGAGTGGTCACATGCCATGAATCAATTGGTTTAACTAATGAAGCTGTTGTGATGACAGTCAAACTATTAATAGCAATAATCAAATCTGGTAACTATACTTCAAAAAATTATTACTTTAATTTTTAAGAAAGCGATCCTGTATATTTGTGTTATTCTCTAGTGTGAGATTAAATACTTGAAAAGAAGTCTTAAAAAAGGAAATTTATTTCCAAAAATAAGTTGACAAGCTATCATGTTACAGCTCAGTAATCAATATTAGTATTAAAGATAGATGGCAATTTGACTAATCTAGGTTGCTTGTGAGAATCTCCTTCAAATTCAAGCAATATACTTCAAACTTTATACTGATTGACAAAAATAATACTTGCAATTTGACTAAAATTGGTTGCATAAAATCAATATATATTAATTATATAGGTCAACTGCTTCCAACAATATAATTTTCATTATTATTAATTTCTGAGATGGATTATAAAGTATCCAATGATTATTATCGTAATACTGATATGGGTTACAAAAATAAACCCAATCGATTTTCGTAGTAATTATCCACTGGCAAGATTGTGTTAGATATTCATGATTGAATTGTGTAGGAATGCATTCACTGAATTTCCAAAAGGACAAATAAAGTGAACTATGAACTATAAATTTCGATCAATACAATCTTTCCATAAGTTGTCAATCAAATTCTATTGAACAGATGCTTATCATAAATGAGATGTTGTTTGCATCCTCCTTGTCCCACTTCATTCTATTCTTCTTCCTCCTCTCCTCCATAATTATATTATATTGCATTTGTTACCATTAATAATTATATGTTGTTATACTGTATCACTGTTTTTTATTTACTTCAATGTTAATTTAATATTTTTAAAATATGTTTTAAGTTGTTAATTTTATTTTTATCTTGCACGTTTTCTTCCAAGGATTAAATGATGCCCCTATTTGCGCTGTCCACGATGATGGCATTCTCCCCCTCCCAGTTTACCGAAGAAGACCACCCACATCTGAAATGCCACAAAGATCCTACCAGTTGCCTGTACCTGGGATGCATTATAACAATGGTTTAAAATCACCATCCCTCCACTTCCAGAAGGGTTTCGATCGACAGATATTACTACCAAATTTGAGTAAAAAAAACAACCAGAAATTTGGATTGAGTAAGTGGTCCATGTAACTTTGGTTGAGACACCCTGTCTCTTATACACATCTAGATGTGTATAAGAGACAGTATATATATATATATATATTACCGTATAATAATAAAGTTTTACCTTTTTATTTACAACCATTAACAACTAATTGAACTAACATTTTCTGTTTAAAACATCAAATATAATTCACAATACTTTAAATTGCACAAATTAAACCAAAATACAATTCATGGCACATATTAACAACATTATGAAAAGCATGTATGTTTACTTGTAGAAACTACAATCACCAAACTAAAAAATACTGCTATGATGAGAAGTATGATCACCTGAATCTCAATCCATTCTGCAATCTTTAACATCAAAATACAAATTAGAATTATAAATCAAATAGAGAATACACTGCTATTAATTAATACTTTGCTTAGAAAAAAATTGCATATCTAGAATGTCAACATCAATTTATCAAACCATAAAATATATTTTGCAAATGCAGCATGAAAGAAACTCGCACAGCCTCGAGCTAATTTAAACATTGATAATACTAATCAGCTATGCTAACAACCTACTTGGGGATTGTTTCCTGGCAACCAAACATGCATGTGGCCACTTCACATAGCAACATAACATGATTCCTATGCAACGGGACAACTAAGGGATCGTTACTGGCAGTCAGATGAGGAAGGATCTACCCCTACAAATGCACTCTCATGCACGCATCTTGTTACACTGCAGGTTTGCTAGACGTCCCGATTTGTTCAGTACATGATGATGGGTATTTGTCAAACGCAAGATATGGGAAAAACAAACCTTCTACTGCCGAGAGCCGAAGACTATATTCTTACAGCATTCCCCCAACAATTAACAGACATAATTATAAGATTCAGAACCTCAACCCAACAATTAACTCTCAAATGTTCCCAATCAACACAATCACTGGGCTTAGTACATACCCATTAGGTTTCAAAGAAAAAGCTGATCCAAGGTTTGGTGTTAGTAAGTATATTCATAGTTTTACTACAAAAACAAAAGAAATAATAATATTTAACCACATTATTACTACAAAAACAAACAAAATAATAATATTTAACCAAATTACTGTCATGTAAAATTGTCTGTGAGCAACTAATCTATTAATTTTATTTATCAGTTATTACTGAATCCAAGAAATCTTCAAAATTAATTGACATTTAATAATTTGTTTGCATGTTTTCCACAATTACAACTAAACCCCCCACAGAGGTTTGATTCACTAAATTGTGACTATATTAATTCATTTATTTCATTTTTTTCCCATTCTAACTGATCACTTTTGTAATAGGAAAAACAAATTAAGCCTAACTTTTTACACTTAAGTTTTAAATTTCATTATAATTTTCATAAATATTTTTCTAATATAAAATTTCACATACCAAAAAAATGAGATGAGCAACTAAAAATATTTCAAAAATAATTATTAATGCATGTAAATTTACAAATGAACGTACAGTATTTCAACAGATTACATATTACTTTGTTAACTAATTAACTATTTTTCTAATTAGTACCAATGACAGACACATGGCGTGACGAATTACGGGAGCTTACTGAGAAAGCAGGGCTAGGCCTTCCAAAAGAATTACGAGAACAGCAACAAGAACAGCCTCGTAGGACTTCTGTTTACTCATCCGACACAGGCCGACTAATACCACCACCGTCTCGGGCTATGCAGCGGGGATTCTCAAGGCAAAGACAACGGGAACCGCAACATTTTAATCATATCCAACCTGAACAAGCTAATGAATCCCTTGTAAGTATCAATTACCCGTAGGTCTAAGAACCCAAATTACATGAACTGGTGCTTAAGAAAATATTGATTCACCCAACCACCCAAAGAAAGAATTCTATAATACATCTGTATCACAGACATAGAAGCCTATATCTTAAATCGGCTTTAGCTCAAACACAAACACCATATCCTTAAACCATAAGCACATCTGGGTTGTAGCGGGAAGGGGAATCTTATTCTGTGTTATTAATACCTAGGCTAAACAATCATTATATCAAATGATTTAAAAGTGGTTGCTAAGTTTGTTAAAAATTTCAAATCAAATATATATTATTAATCAAATATACAATATTATTTAAGCTGGTTTCAAATATATACTAATGGTTAATTAAAGCTGTTTTTATATTTGGGCAATTTTATTAATTTTTGTTTTGATAGGTATTGGAAATGCTTTGTCAGATTCTACAAACAGACTCTGTTAGTGCTATCCAGTCTTGGTTGGTTTCAGCGAATTCCAGAGGTAAGAAATACTTTAATAAAAGATATGACATAAAGTTGAATATTGATGAAGAATGTTTAGCCTGAATAACATTCACAAAAGTGTCACCAGACACCACAGAACAGTTACGATATCCCTTATTCTAAGTCTTGCATTAGAGAACGTAATACTAAAATATAATCGATAATAAAAAAGAAGTAACAATAATAAAAGTAGTCAGAATTCTTACTATAATGACTAAAATAACTACCAGCACTGATTCATCTTCATAAATTTAAATAATACAGAGAAGGATTTAGTGCTGGACATGATTCGATCAGCTGTGGTAACAGAAGAAGAGCGCCTTCAAAAACAGCAGTTCGATCCTGCCTCTTACCAACAACCACCATCTAATATGAATTTACAAAATGGATATGGCGAAGTAGACAAATTCTATGAAGATGATCACACAAGGTTCTCTCGCTATGCTTACGATAATGACAACGGACGGAAAAACTTCTCTCCACAAAAGTCAAAGGAAAACCAAGGTACAGTAAAAGTCTCAACATATCAGTACAATTAATCTATAAGTATACTATTTCTCTCCAATTCCCAGATGGCCTTCTATGGTTCAAAACCCCACAAACAAACCCAATGAATGAACCTTTTAAGGCCAACTCAGACAGGGTCGGCCGACGCAGCCCGACCCTATTTATCGTCGGGGACAGTCTTAAGCCGTCGTGAGAAATATTAAACACGTTTAATATTCTACTACGCGACTGCCCCCGACGCACACCATCACGTCTGCGTTCAACTCACACAGACCCGACGCGACAACAAATCGCGTCGGGCTGCGTCGTACGACGCTGTCTGAGTTGGCCTTTACACTACCCCCTGCATCAAATACCATCATACTATTGATAAATTTCATAATAGAAATAAAAAAAATTAAAAAAAAAAATAAATAAAAAAAATAAATAAATTAAAAAAATAATAAAATAAATAAATAAAATTAAATCCCAATATGCCTAAAGCCCTGTCCTTACTATTAAATTTATTTGACAAAAATATTTTGTATGCCCATATATAGTAATTATGTGCCTATATATGGTAATGATGTGATGTCATCATGACCATTATTTAGCCATTTATTTGTCAAATTTGATATTCTAGACAGGGCTTAATACAAAAGATTGTATTTGTGATTTGAATGTCAACCAACTAATAACAATTTTTTATTTTAAATAGGAAAATCGTCCAAAGCAGAGATTCTGAGAGTTCATACCCCACGTGCAGAATCACCATCAAAAGGTAGCCCAAAACCATCCAGCCGCTAAATGAAGAACACCAAACAGTAGACAGTATGGAGACTAATCAATCAGTCTTGAACACTAGAGGGTGTAGGTCAACAATGCTATCTATTCACAGCAGTACATTTGGCATTATTTTATCCGAAAAATTGTGTCCCAAAAATGGGCCAGTTTTGACAAGTTATTACAGGATTCTAAGAATAGTTTTAAAGAAATCAAGTAAATATAACTTTTTTCAAAATTGTTATTTTGTGTTAACAAACGCAATGTGAAGGAAAGTAACAATCACATAGTGTTTGTTATTAAACATAATAATTTAGATTCATTGAGATTGAATTTTATCAAAATTTAAAATAAGATGAAATATGATATATATGTAACTAAGGTGATAACTTACTAAGGTGATACCACACTAAAATGGGTCACCATTCCCATTAAAACATCTTAGTGCAACTCAAATGAGTTAAGGTCAGACCTACTGTATAAGGTTTCACTACCTTGGATTCAATGGCATTATAGAAGGCACTAATCTGTTTTAAGCTTCATTATAATTGCCAAGAAATCGGCTCCAAGTGTAGAAAAGGATGAGTTTTTGCCATATGAATGGAGTATTTACAGTAATATACTGAACCAGAACTAAAGGGATTGAGGAAGCATCACCATCATAT